GGTATACTCTAGTGTCCTAATTAACGCAGGAATTCTATTTCCAAGGAAGACTACTCAGGTAGCAATAAAAAAGAGGTCAAAATGACATACCTTAGATATGAGTGCTAGGATGTCAGACACTCCAGGGCATATACATCAAGTCCACGAGATGACAAATGAAAACAAACAAAAACCACCCCCCAAAAACGAATTCTCAGGAACATGTTCAGAATTAGTTGATGGTTGTAAACATATTGCCATTATTTCAAAAGAAGTTACATTTGAAGAACAAAAATTAAATCAAAGTCAGAAAATCAGGGTTTACCCCAGCTATCAGGTCCTTGATGTTGCAAATATGTGGGGCTTGATCATTTGTTAAATACACTGAGTGGCCGGATTATTATGATGTCTGAGCCATAATAATCTGGCCACTTAAGTGTATTGGGGGTCAAAATAAAAAGCAATGCAATGTATTATTTCATTTACATGGACCCAAGGGAAAAAAAGTAGATTAGTGGTTCCCAGGAGGCTGAGGAGAAGTAGAGAATGATAAGAGACTTCTAAAGGATATGGGTTTTCTTTTTGGCATATAAAAATGTTCTGAAATTACATAGTGGTGACAGCTGCACGATGGTGAATATACTAAAATTCTACAAGGATGAATTTGCTGGTATGTGAATTTTATCCCAATGGGAACAAAGCAATGCAAACAAAGAGAAAAGCAATGCAAAACGTCCCTCTCTACAAAATGGGGACGGGGGGGGGGGGGGGGGTGCGGCGGAGAGACACAGAAGTGGCAATGGCACGGTCAAAATGGGAAATGTGGGTCTCTATACTACTACTACTTTTTTTTAAAGACTAAAACCTGAGTAATAAAAACACAGAATCAGGTCCAAAAGTCAAGGACTATTTTTTTCAACCTTAGAATCCTTTAGATTTGAATGGAGCCTTTTGAAACAAAAAATATGTATTAAAATTCCCAGAATGATAACCTGTTTGGAGAGATTTAATTGCTGCAAATAATCTAGAATGCATTTTAAAATAAAAAATACAACAAAAACCAGATAAAAGATCTAACAAGGGGCACACAGTTAACGGGACAGGATGCTGAGGCGGTGTGTGAACCTCTGGCTGTTTTCTGCATGAAGAATCTGGGCTTTGAAAGCAAAAGTGGTTTGCTCAGTTATATTCCCTGCATTTAGTACAGACTAGATACTCTGTAAATATTTAATGAATAAGTCAATTCATGATGCAGCTGCGAACTGGCTTCTTGGTCTATGCAAGTATCTCAAATGAGTTTATTTTAAAAACTGGCATCATGTTCTTTTGCTAGAAAAGAAAAAACTCATGTAATTTACTAAATAGCTATAAGTTAAATGGTTTGAATACAGGCATAAAGTAAAGCATCTGAATTAATGGACTAAACCTTAATTAATGAAGTTCCAATGTGTGAAAGCCTTTATGATAGCGTGAAGTACAGGTATATCAATGCTGGCCATGTCACTTATTACTTTAAACCCAAACCTTCCAAACCCTGTTTTCTATCCCAAAGCCATAACCCAAGCTGACTGTGAAGAGGGTAAAAACTATGGCAGTGTTTTTCAGTTCAGTTGATATTAATAGCTGATATTAGTAGTTGATAATGTAATTTTAACATTTCATGTAAGAAGCAAAAAGATAGCCAACAGTAAGTTTGTAGTGTCATTACACTTCATGTAATAGATGATATTTTAAACATTATTTCTGTTATTGTACTATAGGTATTTATTTCTGAAGCTTTTTCTATTTCTATTGTACTATAGGTATTTATTTCTAAAGCTTCTTCAATCCTGGGATCTTCTTTTCTAAAAACATTTCTTCTCTCATCCATTCCTAAGGAATGGATGAAAGAAGAAATCTAGATATCTTCATCTAAAATACTAATGAAGCCTGGCCAGTGTGGCTCATGGTTGAGCCTTGTGAATCAGGAGGTCAGTTCGACCTCCCGGGATGGCACATGCCTGGGTTGTGGGATCGATTCCTAGTGTGGGGCATGCGGGAGACAGCTGTTAATCATTCTCTTTCTTTCTTTCTTTCTTTTTTAAAAAAATATATTTTATTGATTTTTCTTACAGAGAGGAAAGGAGAGATAGAGAGCTAGAAATGTCGATGACAGAGAAACATCGACCAGCTGCCTCTTGCACACCTCCTACCAGGGATGTGCCCACAACCAATGTACATGCCCTTGACCGGAATCGAACCTGGGACCTTTCAGTCCGCAGACCGAAGCTCTACCGCTGAGCCAAACCGGTTTTGGCTCATTCTCTCTCTTCATTGATGTTTCTATTTTTTTCTCCCTCTCCCTTCCTCTCAAGTAAAAATATAATTAAAAAAAAAATACTGATGACCAGGCAATCACTACCACCTGGAAGTCCTTCCTGCTAACAATAGCCACTGATTTCCAAGAGGCAGTCACCTCTCTGCTCTCCCCATACTCACTCCCTATCCTTTACCTCTTGTGAGTGCTGCCAACACTTAAAAATCTACATCACTTGCCCTAACCGGTTTGGTTCAGTGGACAGAGCGTCGGCTTGCTGATTGAAGGGTCCCAGGTTTGATTCCGGTCAAGGGCATGTACCTTGGTTGTGGGCACATTCCCAGTAGGGGGAGTGCAGGAGGCAGCTGATGGATGTTTCCCTTTCATTGGTGTTTCTAATTCTCTATCCCTCTCCCATCCTCTCGGTAAAAAAAAAAAAAAAAAAAAAAAAAAAATCAATAAAATATATTAAAAGCAAACAAATAAAAAAAAAAAACAAAACCCTACATCACTTAAGACCATGGTCAGCAAACTGCGGCTCGCCAGCCACATGTGGCTCTTTGGCCCCTTGAGCGTGGCTCTTCCACAAAACACCACGGCCTGGGCGAGTCTATGTTGAACAAGTGGCGTTAGAAGGTTAAGTTTAAAAAATTTGGCTCTCCAAAGAAATTTCAATCATTGTGCTGTTGATATCTGGCTCTGTTCACTAATGAGTTTGCCGACCACTGACTTAAGAGATTCCTGGACCGGAACCCTGTGCACTTTCGAATCTGGCAGCTGTTACAACTCAGCACGCCAGAGAATCAGGTTGCTTTTTCCAACTGAGGAATCCCAGGAAGAGCCGGCAGCCAGACCCCCAAATGGCTTTTCAGGACCCATGTTTCATGGCAGATGCTGCCACAAGACTCTCCGTGCTCGGTTCTTTGCGAACAGCTTTCTGTGACTGAGGAACGGGCTCTGTGGGCTCGTGTGTGGGAGTCTTATATTGTGTTCAGCTATGCTCTGAAGAAAACGCGTTGCTGCTACGGAAAATTCTGTTCTTATGCTTCACAAATCTTGCCAAGTCTCTTAATGTGAATATTTCCTCAGAGGTGAAAGCAAGAACTCTTTGGTTATCCAGATACAAAATACAGAGACTGTTTATTTGGGAGCCTGTCGTTCTTCATAAACACATTTTGTAGAGTGATGGCCTATAGACAATGGAGATCGAAAACCATCTATAGAGACTACGGCTTCATGAAAAACAAACAAACAAACAAACAAACAAACAAACAAACAAACAAACAGCACTGCACGCCAATAGCTGTAGGAGAAAGAGAAGCCCAAACCACAGTTGGGTTCTATACTCACCAGAATGGCTTCAGTCAAGATGAAGTTGGGGAACAATGTGATTTTCACACATGGGATTGGTTTGTTTTTAACACCAATGCCCACTCTTTTAAAAGTGTAATTTAGCTCTGGTTTCTTTCGTTCTTTAGAAGACATCTTTGGAGGCAATTGATGATTTCAAAACCAGTAGTGGGTGTCTCAGTGACCTAGTGCTCCTAGTCCCCATTCAGATAGTGGAGCACTTAGTTACTTAAAAATTGCCCTTAGATTTGCTCCCACCCTGAAGGCATTTCTAGTTGATGCCGGAAAGAAGCTTCCCTGGACTTCCAGAGGGGCCCTCCCACAAATGCCCACCCTACCCAAAGCACCTTGCATTTCCCTCACACACTCTGTCAGTCTTTCCCTCCCCCTCCCCCGCCCAGAGCGATCTGGGTTAGACAGACAACAAACAGCATCTCCCCCATGGGCACACATGCAGCAGCTGTCAAAAGGAGAAGTCAGTTTACTTTCTTTTAAACTTGCAATGTTTGCCTTTATTTTGTTCTTTATATTTTGAAAGTGAAAAGAAATAGTATTGAGTCAATTTCTTTTTGTTTTTTTAAATATTTGTTCTATGTATTTACAAGCCTTATAGTTGCTCTAAAGATTTCAAAAGAATTAAGAGTACTTTTCCAAGGGTAGCACTTTTTTTTTTTTTAAACAATTCTTGGAGTTCTCTGGTCCACAGCATTTCCTTCTGTTCCAAGGTTATGTATGTTTTGATTACTATTGTGATTTTTTTTTTTTTTTCTGAAGCAAGCTGAGAGGCAGGCAGAAAGATTTGATACCAAAAATAAAATAAAATTAAAATTAAAAAAAAAAATCTTTCTTACCTTGTTCACCCCAAACCTTCTTAAATCTGGACTAACTACTCTGCGTTAAAACAAACGTGAGGTGCGTCTGAAGGGGAGGGAAATTTATTTCTCTGCTTTTCTATTATACAAGTTGTTTACAGAAACTGCAAATTAAAAAATTACACTGGCATTTGCAGTCCTTAAAATAAATTAAAAGTTCCTCAACTTTTTTTTTTTTTTTTTTTTTTTTTTTTGCTAAACAGATGAGTTTTTTTTTTTTAAAGTATGAGTCCTCATTTAAAAAGAAAAGATTATAACAGAAAATATTTTCTATAAATAATACATGTATTTTGGTTTTAGTGCTCCCGCCCTCAGGTTGAAGTTTACTTTTTTCCAGTACCTTTTTCCTCCATGATCACCTTTTTTCTCTTTCCCCTCTCCCACTCGTGCACACGTGGGGGTTTCTGCGAGAATTGGCCTTGCTGCACTGTGATTGGCGAAGACGTGAAACTTTTTAAAAAAATACTTAAATTGTTTCTTTTGTTTCGTGTGTATTTGAAGTTTTAGTTATCCTCCGATTCCTCTTCTGCTTCCCGGAGCCACGTGAAGAATGCTGTGACAGATTTGAGGGCCACACCCTTTCCATTTTGCTCTGCGGGGTCCTTGCTGCTTTCCCATTTGTAGAAGGCATCCTCGGAGATTACCTCTTCGTCATACAGGCAGTCAAAAAACATCCGTAGCAAATCTGTGAGGAGGTGAAAATAAACCATCTGTTTTGGGGCAGTGTAGTTGTGAAGGAAAGATTGTATTTCTAAGTAATGAATGAATGCACATTAATTCCCCAAGAAAAGAGCATCGTGACAATTCATTATACATCCTCTTGATAGTATAAATAGCAGAACTGTCTAAAGAATAGGAAAAGAAGATGCAAGCAGTCTAAATTACTTATCCCTGTTGTTTCAATTTGAACTAGTTTCTGATAATGCTGAGCTGTTTTTTTGTTTTTTTTAATTAAATATATTTTCTATTGATTGCAGAAAGAAAGGGAGAGAGGGAACGGAGAGAGAGAGAAACATCAAGGATGAGAGTGAAAATAATTTTTTTTAGCCCCTGCTGCATGGCTCAGTTGGTTGGAGCATTGTCCTGTGCTCTGAAAGGTCGCTGGTTCAAGTCCCCGTCAGGACAAATACTAGGTTGTGGGCTCAATCGTAAGTAGAAGTGGATGTGAGAGGCAACTGATGTTTCTCTCTCACATCAATATTCTCTCTCTCTCTCAAATACAACCTTGGGTGAAGAATAAAATAATAAAAAATTAAATTTTTTTAAAACATTTCTCTATTTGAAATTATACAATAGCAATATGTTATTTTTACAATATTTGGGAGGACAAGGCAGAATGTACTTCCTCCCTTCTAATATTTTCATGCTGAAAAGTAATAATTTACATGAAAAAATATGGGTAAAAACTTTATCTGTCAACTATTTTCAATGCTCAGATAATGTGGTCAATATTAATTCTCTGTTTTGCTCTCACAATGGAAACTTAATTTATATTATTGTACAAAAAAGGGAGAAAGTTGTTAAGGATAAAAAACCTGACAGAGGGTTTTTATATATCCTTGAAAAAAAATTCCTTCCTTGCAGGCTCTTAAAATTCATTTACTGTTAGCTTGCTAATCATTCATATTAATGGAGGGATGCAGTAGAATAAGCAATAATTGCTACTAAATATCAGGCTTACCATGAGTCATATTAAAATTTCTCTTTAGATTTATTTTGTAATTTTATTAGTCCAAGTAATATTGAAGTCACTTCTTTCTCTAAATCGCAGTTGGTCCATGGGGAAATGGAAAGAAGTGGCTATGTTTTGGTAAGTCTAGAATTAAACATCTCTCCGGGAATTATTAAAGTTGGTAATCCATTTTATCTATTTATAACAATCTCTTAAAAAGTTAGTGTCCTAATCTTATAAGAAAAGGAAGCCATATGTTAAACAACTTTTCAAAGGTGAAGAGAGAGAAAACAAAGTAGATTCATTCTCTTCTTCACATTTAGATGTCTCTCCAGTTATACCCTGAGAAAGATTTGTTTCAATCTTCTCCTTTATCTCCTAGAAAAGTGATTTTCAATCTTTTTCATCTTATGGCACACATAAAGTAATCACTAAAAATTCTGTAGTATACTCAAAAAGTATTTTTTGCTGATCTGACAAAAAAAAGAAAAAGAAAAAAAAAAAAGGTATAATTTTGATTCATTCACACCAGACAGTTATTGTGTTGGCTGTTGTCATTTTTTAAATTGACAATCTAACGGGAAGAGGTCAATATCCCTGACTAAATAGTCAGGAACTGAATATTGTACAAAATCCTTGCATTGCCCTGACTGTTTTTACTCAGTGGTCACGGGTTTTATTCCTAGTCAAGGGTGAGTAACTGGATTGCAGGTTTGGTCCCCAGCCCCAGTCAGGTCACCGTGCTTGAGGAACCCATCGATCTCTCGATCTCCCGCTTCCACTCTCTCTAGCAATCAATGGGAAAGCTTCCTCAGGTGAGGATTAACAACCACAAAATTCTTCCTGCACACCAGCTGAAAATCTCTGTCCTGGCAAAGGAAAACTTTGCAAAAGATATAGCCTAAGGAAGTGCCAAAGATCAATAGCCATATAATATCCACTTTCACAAGTTTCAACTAAATTTTCAAGCTTTAATACAATTCAGTTAACTTACCAATATCACCAAGTTTTAGATGTAAGGTTACCTTATTTGTCTGATTAGCCAGAATTAATCATAACCCTTAACTGAAAACTAGTCTAAAATGCCTTAATGACTTTGCAGGATTCTGAAGAGTATTATTCTCTTTCCTAATTAAGACCTGTTTCACCTAAGCCAGCTTGGCTCAGCAAAATGAAGGGTCCCAGGTTCAATTCTGGTCAAGGGCACATGCTAGGTTGGTGGGCTTGATCCCCAGTAGAGGGCATGCAACAGCCAATCAGTGATTCTCTCTCATCATTGATGTTTCTATCTCGCTCTCCCTCTCCCTTCTTCTCTGAAATCAATAAAATATACATTAAAAAAAAGATCTGTGTAAAAAAAGTGAAATTTATATAATATGCATGCTAATATGGAGATGCCCTAACCCTGAATCGTCCAATAGGATAGCCACTAACCACAGTGGCTATTTACATTTATATAAAATTTAAAATTTAAGCCCTAGCCAGTATTGCTCAGTGGATAGAGCGTCAGCCTGCGGACTGAAAGGTCTGGGGTTCGATCCCCAGTAGGGGGCGTGCAGGAGGCAATGATTCTCTCTCATCACTGATGTTTCTATCTCTCTCTCCCTTCTTGTCTGAAATCAATAAAAAGGTATTTTAAAAAAATTTAAATTTAGTTCCTTAGTCACAATAGCCACATTCAAGCGCTCAACTGACAAGTGGCTCATGATTGCTACAATGAAAGACACAGATATATTTCCATCATTGCAGAAAAAATTATTAGCCCTCTCTAGAGTGAGGATTAAACATCTAATTTAAACTAGTTATTATTTTCTCACGAAAGTCAAGTACATAAAAAATGTAGGTTCATTAAAATTGTTGGTTATCTGAGTTTTGTTACCAGGAATTCCTCTATTATCCCTGTTCAAACCCATCATACCATCACTGGTTAAAGCTCACCCACTGGTTGGGTTAATTGTAGCAAGACATAAACTTACTGGCAGGTTGATCAAGTTTGACTATTGATGCTTGTAGTGCATAAAGTGCTTGCAGTTCCTTCTCTGTGTCCGAGTCTAGGTACTTGAGTAAGATCGGCACTCTCTGCTTGATAACTGCAGTGTCCACTCGGAAGGTGGAACAGTCAGCTGGAGGTGACAGAAGAACTAAGCATTACATTTAAGGAATTAGCACACAGTCATTTTCAAATTTTGAGCCATTAAGACACATCTGACTCTATAAGAAGAGAGGAAGCAAGGAGGTCCAAGGAAACAATTTTGAAATTCAAAATGTTCTGAAATTCTTAATGGGACATTCTTTCCAAAATAATAAAAGAACGGAGGGGTGATGTATTCCGAGTGTTGGGGTCCTTCAGCAGTTGTGTACCCAAATACTTTATCTTTAATCACAATCAAACAGGTATAGTGGTTTTATCTTTCTAAACTAGAAACACAACATCAGAAAGGAAATTAGATTGAGAGTTCATGTAAATCTTTTCAGAAGGGTAAAAGATTTGAACCGCGTTGTTATTAATTATAGGAGGGTGAGGGCTGTCAGTGGCAGACAACATATCTGACCTGGGTCCTTCGGGGAAAGGCACAACTCAGGGGCTGAGGAACGCATCCCCAGAGCCAAGAAGCATAGGTTTTATTTCCTCTGTGAGTTGGCACAAGGACACAATATTGTTTTTTAAAAGCAGCTTTTATGTTTTCCAACTGATTTTTATAGTGCCAAAGTCTTATTTCCATAGGTAATGTAAATTATTTAAAATTTTTAAAAATCAAGACTTTCTATTTAGCTTGTTGTTTATTCATTAAAGAACATAGAAAAAACATTAATTGATAGAAAAAATCTTAAATTAGAATCCTGAAGCTGTCTTCTAAAATGATAAAGAGAGGGAGGATCCAAGATGGCTGCTCGGGTAGACATCTAGCCGCGGCAGCACACAACAATTTCAATGGAATACAAGTAAGATCTAGAGTGGACATTGCCCAGAGCTACAGGTAGTCGACTGACTGAAAATTCTACAACAAGAAGGAAAGAGAAAACCAGAAGGAAAATCAGAGGAGCTGAAAAAAAAAGCCTAAGGTACGGAGACATGCTGCGTGCCCGCGCGCACGCGGAGAGGTCACAGCCGGAGAGGAGGAGAGGGCGGGGTGCTGCCTTTCCTTCCCTAGCAGGAAGGAAATAAAACCCCCAGCCTGGGCTGAACCCCCGAACCGGCAGCGCTGAGCCCCCCCCGAACCGGCAGCGCTGAGCCCCAGTTATGGGCCAGACCCTGGGGACCCAGACTCAGGCAGAGGGAGACGGGGCTGTGAGGTGGAGTCCGGGGAGAGCGGCGAAAGGCCGGGTCCCAGGACTTGCGCACACACTGCGCGCAGAGGACAGTCTGTTGACTCTGATGCTGGACTCCCCTAGTGGGAAGGAGGAAAAAAAGCTCCAGGCTGGGGGAACGCGGCGGGGAGCAGGAGCCCCTGCCAGGACTGGACGCCGGCCAACCGGGCACCAGCAAGGAGCCAGGCGACGGGGCCCCTGGGGGGGGGTGTGTGCCCCTGAGCCTTCCACCACTGAGCACAGGCAATGGAGCCAAGGCCAGGGGCTGCTTCCTGGGCGGCGCCGTCCCTGGCAACAGGCAGAAGCAGCGCAGGAGCCCAGGGAGAACAAAGGGGTGCCACAGGCCAACCTGCTGAGCTCCCAGGACAAGGAGGAAGAAACCAAAGAAGTTCTCAATGTGAAGAAATCAAGTGAGAGCAAAAGATAGTAAAATTACTTAAGAAAGAATACAAAGAAGTTCTTGAAAAATCAAAGACTAAGTCAGAACTCAACTCAACAGCCAACATTGCAACATAAATGCGTTTTAAAAAAGAAAAAAGAAAAAAGAAAAAAAAAAAAGGACAGAATGTTGGAACCGCGGCGGCCAGGCCTAGAGTGGCCAGGCACAAGGCAGTGGCAGCAAGGCCCCAGAGCAGCAGCAGCCAGAACAAGAGCATCAACAGCCAGCACTGGAGCAGCCAGACCTGGGGCAGTGGCAGCCAGGCCTGAGGCAGAGGCGGCCAAACCCAGGGGGGCCAGTCCAGGAACAACCAGACCTGGAGTGGTCGGGCCCGGAGAAGCCAGGCCCAGAGCAGCCGGGGTGGGAGCAGCCAGACCCAGAACAGCAGTAGCCAAGCCCAGAGCATTCAGGCTGGTAGTGCTCAGGTTCGGAGCGGCCAGGCCCGGGGCAGCTGGGCCCAGAGCAGCCGGGTCGGGTGCGGCCAGGCCTGGAGCAGCGGCTGCCAGGCTGGGAGCGGCCAGGCCCGGGGGAGCAGGCGGGTCGGGTGCGGCCAGGCCTGGAGCAGCGGCTGCCAGGCTGGGAGCGGCCAGGCCCGGGGGAGCAGGCGGGTCGGGTGCGGCCAGGCCTGGAGCAGCGGCTGCCAGGCTGGGAGCGGCCAGGCCCGGAGCAGCAGCAGCCAAGTCCAGAGCAACTAGGTCGGGAGCGGCAGTGACCAGACCCGGAGCAGCTGGTTGTGGAACGAACCAGAGCAACAGAGGCCAGCCCCTGAGCAGCCAGGCCCAGAACAGCTCGCTCCTTGCCTGCCCCTACCCCACGGCTGCTTCTCAGACATGGCTGGAAACTTTCGTGGGAACTTGAGGGTCTGCTGAATCAAGTGATGAAGGCTTAGATCTGGATGTGTTGAGTTAGTATAGGGCTGGGGTATTGATCTGTGAGTGCCTTGGGTGGGGCCTGGATGAGGCTGGTGGACCTATTGGGAAATGTCTTTTGTGTGAAGTGTATCATTGGGCATGTGGAGGTATTATTGATTTGAGAAAATGCTAAGTAACTGATTTACTATCTGAAAAGGGATTTACTATTGGGGAAAGGGAGGGAAGAAGAGACTGAACATAAACTGCACCTATGGATGAGGACAATGGGGGATGGGGAAGGGGTAGAGGGTGGGGTGGGAACCTGGTGGAGGGGGGAAGAAATGAGGAACCTTTGTAATAATATGAACAATAAAGATTGATTTAAAAAAAAAAATGCAGAGAACAAAAAAATAAATAAATAAATAAAAATAAAATGATAAAGAGAAAACTAAAATTCTGAAAAACTTTGGAGTTGAATTTTGCTGTCCGATTTCAGTGATACAAATGTGGATTTCTGAGGCTAAAAGGATGATCTTGTTAAATACTGTTAAATATTACAGGCAGCTTGGAATATTTAGAGTTTCTACCATTCCTTATCCTATCGATCTATGAAATTCATCAACACTCAATGAAATTGGCTTATATAAAGTAAATATAAAACAGAAGCAGCAACTGGCATTTCTTTCCTCATGTATGTAGTTATACAAAACTAGAGGCCCGATGTACGAAGATTTATGCAAGAATGGGCCTTCCTTCCCCTTGCCATCTTGCACACCTTCACTCCGGCGGGAGCCCCCTTTCCACCTTCCTATGCTGCCTATGGAGCAGCTGGGGTGGTGCGGAACACCTGCGGCCCCTCAACGCCTGTATATGCAAATCAACCCACCATCTTTGTTGGGTTAACTTGCATACTTGCTCCTGATTGGCTGGTGAGCATCAGAAAGGGACAGACAATTTGCCTCTTATTCTTCTATTAGTGTAGATGGCTTTTCTGTTGAGAGTAATCCCTGATTGATATTAACAGGTTAAAAATATTCAACCTAAAAAAAAAAGAAAAGAATATTCAACCTGGCCTGGCCAGTGTGGCTCAGTGGCTGAGCATTGACATATGAACTAGGAGGTCAGGATTCAATTCCTGGTCAGGGCACACATCTGGGTTGCAGACTCAATCCCCAGTTGGGGCATACAGAAGGCAGCCAATAAATGATTCTCTCTCATTACTGATGTTTCTCTCTCTCTCTTTCCCTTCCTCTCTGAAATCAATAAAAACATATATTAAAGAAAAAAAAATCCTCAATCCGTTCATTTTAACTCTTGAAAGGAAGAAGCCAGGCTTTGAGTGTTGGAAGTGAAAAGTAAATTCATAAATTTGAATGTGAATTAGAAAAGCCACATGCAACACAGTATAAAACACAGTATAAAACCACCAAAGGCATGCAGTAAGCTGCTCAGATCTGGGCTCTTTGCAGGCAGGGCAGCTAGTTGCAGCCTGCTTGAGACAGCCAGGCACTGTAGACAGAAAGGCATGCATCTGCACAGAAACTGAGCTATACAGGGCAAGTTTTAAAGACAATATAAACTCAGGCCCAAATCAGCAGTATTGACATAGTGGGGATTTCAGATGTTAAATTTTGCCTTTAGAAATGTTACTTACCTATTATAATAGCTGCTTTACAAACGGCTGTCATTAAAGCTCTAAGGAATGTAGGTGAACTCATCTGGCTTTCATCTAGATTAGCCTGATATCAAAAGTAAAACGGAACTGTTTAAAGATACGCTCACACACCAGAGAAATCAATTCCCCTTAACTAGGTCCCATCTGGCACCGACGGCAGATGGGTCACATTCAACATTCTTGGAAAAATCAATCTTCTGATTCACTGGAAAACACTTAGGCTACTGTCAGTTCTGTTGCAAATGTTCTAAGAGGCAGTATTTCATTTTTAGGGGTGTCACTGCCTCCCTTTGTTCATCCCATTATATAGTGCTGTATACTACATACATTTGGAAGTGCAATGATTTAAAAACATTTTTCTGCTGGGACCGGCTTGGCTCAGTGGATAGAGTGTCGGTCTGCTGACTGGAAGGTCCCAGGTTCGATTCTGGTCAAGGGCATGTGCATTGATTGCGGGCACCCCGGCAGGGGGGTGCAGGAGGCAGCTGGTCGATGTTTCTCTCTCATCGACATTTCTAGCTCTCTATCCCTCTTCCTTCTTCTCTGTGGAAAATCAATAAAATATATATTTTAAAAAACCAAACAAACAACAACAACAACAAAAAAACCCCAAATTTTTTCTTCCTCAAAATAAGATGTTATCCAAATCTATAAATTCAGAAGAACTATACCACCACCACATTGTATTTTAAAGACTACTTTTTTCAGTAGTGTGCAACTCTTCCTAGGTGTGCTAACATGGCTTTTTATCTTAATTTTAATGTTGAATTAGAGATAAATCTCAAGTATTGCCTCAAACAAATCCTTCAGGTGGTGGTGACAAAATTGTTACTCTTTTCTAAGGATGGCAAAAAATGTATTTAGAAATATGCTAAATAAATGGGCCCTCAATTTGTTTTTTAGTTTATTTCTCTTAAGATCTTATTTTTCTTAGTATCTTCTTGCTATAAAACACTATCCTAAACCAGAGGAGCAGCAAAAGAAAATGATAAACAAAAGGGGACATCTCCTAGGCAGGTAATTTTCCTTCTTTTTAGAAAAACAAGCAAGAATTTGACCACAACAAAATATACTTAGGGCAGTGAAACAAGGAAGGGCATAGGAGAAGCAGCAGGAGGCTCTAGGCTGGGCTGTTTGGGCTCACTGGGAGGACAGAGAAAAGGGGGGAAGAGGGCCCTGGAGACAAGGTCAGGAGGTTAGCCTGGAATGAGCGGCTGCTGCCCAATGCTCCCCTGGTTGCAAGACTCACGGGGTCCCTTAGGGTTTAGAGGACGCATGCCTGTGGGAAGGAGAGGGGGAAGGGAATGGCTTGGGTGTGTTCTCTGGAGCATAGTCTAGTATTTCTCCCTGAAAGGGTCAGGCTAAAAATGACGGACCCGGAAAAAAGTAAAGCTCTCATTATAAAACTATGAATCTTATAAAAATAGAAAAACAGCCTTATTGGTTTAAAATACAAATACATGTAAGAATAAAATTAAACTTCATTAAAGTTAAACACTCCCATGAAGGGAAAGGGTAATGTGTGAATTAAGGAGATGCCTCAGGAATCTTTCTGGCAGAGCTTTCAGGGAAGGTGACATAGTCATTATACCTCTACCCAGTCAAAGATCTGTTCATCATTTGCTTTCTCCTCAATAATGAGTTTCTCAAGTCGATTATATAGCTCTTCAGCAGAGAGTTCTTTCTTTGAAAGTGCTTCAGAGGAACAGGAACCATCAGATTCTATAAAATCCAACTTCTGAAACATAAAATGTTAAACACATTGATATAATTCAGTGTTGTTATCACCCTGAGGGGAAAACAAAGCCCTGGGGGTATCTTCTGTTTGACCCGGATCAAAATGATCAGCACTATCCTTCTGAGTATTTCTCTGTTTTTCTCTGCTGTGTATTCCTGATTCTCCTTACAGACAAGCAAACAGACAAAACCCCTCGGACAATCTCCTGAGTGCACTCACCTTCTGACCATTCTGGGCTTGTCGTGCTCTTAGCGTCTCATAGGGCCTTAGGGCATCGTTAATTTTTCTTTCTGCTCCACAAAGTCAGCAATTTTTTCTTATAAAGCATTTTCATATGTTTAGTGAGTTAATTTTCCAATATAGTTATTATAATTTTAAAAATTTAAGTTATAGTAACATCTATTGATACAGGGACTTTTTAATTTATAAAATTCAATGATATTCAGTTTCATAGAACAATACCAGAAACTTCATTAGTAAAACAATTAATAAAATAATGTATCTTTTGTAAAAATTAAGAATGATTTTTTAAAAACTTTTTAAGCTTTTCTTGTTAAAACCTAAAACACAAACATATTAGGCCAATCCTACATTGGGTCAGGATTATCAATATCACTCTTTTTTTCACCTTTACATTTTGTCTCGCTGTAAGGTCTCCAAGGGCAATAACAGGAATAAATGGAGCTGTCATCACCTACGACAGCAATGCCTTCTTCGGGAATATCTCCTGAAGGAGCTGATTGAAATATGTCCATGGTGATTTGCTTCATTTCTTTTTATTATTATTTTCACACATATATTTAAATATAATATTGATTTTTTAGAGAGAGTAAGGGAGAAGGATAGAGTTAGAAACATAGATCAACTGCCTCCTGCACACCCCCTACTGGGGATGTGCCTGCAACCAAGGTAAATGCTCTTGACCGGAATTGAACCTGGGATCCTTCAGTCCGCAGATCGACGTTCTATCCACTGAGCCAAATTGGCTGGGGCTTTTAAAAAAACTTTATTATAGATTTGCTTGTAAGCAGATAATGCACCATGTACATTCTTCTTTATCAAATGTAAACCTTTTAGTGTTGGGGTCCATGTTGTCAAACTTTGTAAGGAGCTTGTTGAGGTCTGCAATTGCTTCTGCTAAAGCCTTCATGGTGAACTTTCTTGGTGGTTCTTCTTTTTCTTCTGCCATTTCCTTTCGCTTGCCTCTTCTTCAGCTATGTGTTCCTGTTCTAGTACCAACAACCCTCGTTAGTTAATTCCTCGGGAGCCACCTCTAGCAGTGCTTCAACGTCATCTTCAACCATACCCAGGTTAAAGTTGCTTGTCATCTTAGTCACAAACTTGTTGATTTTTGCAACTTTTACTCTACAATGACTGCTGCAGGGTCACTAAGTAACCAGAATTTTTCAGTTCCATTATAATCTTATTAGAGGCCCGATGCATGAAATTTCATGCGAGAGCCTTGGCCCCGGCCCTGCTTGCTGCGGCTGCGGCTGGGACCTCTGCTGTGGACCCGGCCTGCTGCGGCTTTGTCTGGAAGGAAGGACGTCTGGAAGGACTTACGGTCTAATTAGCATATTACCCTTTTATTAGTATAGATAGGACCACTATCTATATGTGGTCTGGCTTTGACCGAAATGTCATTAAGTGTTGTATGACTATAGTTAGTTTTTACTTCAGCTAATTTTTCAGATCCAGAATTTGTTTAGTTCTTATTTATAATTTCTACTTCTTTACCCATATTCCCAACTTGTTCATACATCATTCTCCTATAGTTCTTTTTCCATGGTTTTCTTCAGCAATTTGAGCATATTTAAAAGTTAAAGTCATTGTCTAGTAGGCACAATGTTTTGGGCTTTCTCAGGGATGCTTTCTGTCAGTTTCTTTTTTATTCCTGTGAATGAGCCATATTTTCCTGTTTCTCTGTATGCTTTATAATTATTTTGTTGAGAACTAGACATTTTGAATATTATAATGTGGAAACCCTGGATATCATTATCTCCCTTCCCCAGGGACTGCTGATGGTGCAGCCATCTGTTTGATGACTTTTATTTTCTATTAATATATTTTATTGATTTTTTACAGAGAGGAAGGGAGAGGAATAGAGAGTCAGAAATATCAATGAGAGAGAAACAAAGATCGGCTGCTTCTTGCACACTCCCCACTGGATATGTGCCCGCAGCCAAGGTACATGCCCTTGAAGGGAATCGAACCTGGGACCCTTCAAACAGCAGGCTGACGCTTTATCCACTGAGCCGAACCGAGTAGGGCTGTTTGATGACTTTTAGGTAAGGACTGCATTCCTTCTTATATGTGGTCACTGATGTCTTTAATTCACTAACTCCACAGGCAGCCAGTAACTCTCATTTTGGTCTAATTTTAATGACTAGAATGTTAATGAAATGACATTCATTTCCTTTATAAATATATTTACTATGGTCCTAGCTGGTTTGGCTCAGTGGACAGAGTGTCAGCCTGTGGACTAACGGGTCCTGGATTCAATTCTAATCAAGGGCACACGCCTGGGTTGCAGGCTTGATACCCAGTAGGGGGCGTGCAGGAGGCTCTTATCAATGATTCTCTCTCATCATTGATGTTTCTCTCTCTCTCCCTCTTCCTCTCTGAAATCAATAAAAATACATTTAAAAAATAATAATAAGACTTATTATTATTAAATAATAGACTTATTATGGTTGGCCCTTGAACAACATGGGGGTGAGGGAAACCAACCATCTGTGCAGTTAAAAATCTGTGTATAAATTAAACTGGTCCTCCACATATTTCCAATTGTGGACTGAAAATATGTACTATCAAACAGGAAGAAATAAGTCTTGTTCTTACCTGTTCCAAGAGAAAATTATGTACATCTTTCCCTTCTGGTAAAAAGTCCTTCCAGCTGAGGTCAGCCTCCCTCCACAGGGCTCCCACTTTCTTATGGCTCTGAAACAGAGGTAAGTCAAAATCCATTTACTTTTACATTGGCAAGAGAAAACAAACAGAGTGCAAAACTGTTAAGACTGAAAAATAAAAAATTTCCCTTGCTGATATGAAGTTAATTTCTTAGGACTCTAAGCATTGAAGCCGAGATGTCTGAAAGGATGGAAATATAATGGTGAATGACTGAAATTTAGCTGTTTCAGGTTTAATAATATTTTACTGGATGACTAATATGAGGATTGGCAAGCTGGTACTTGGAATTAAAAAGTGATTAAAACACAGAGTTTACAAATTCAACACTTTCTTTCCAAATATTGCTATAAACATCTGCTATTAAAGCCATTCAACAATCTCACTCTACTCCTCTTCCTAGAGCACCGTTATGCTGACTAACGTGAGAAGCTAATAAAGCTGTTGCTCTTGAACCAGGAATGAGAAGTATTTCAAGGGAAAAGCAGAGGTTGAATGCAAGAAACAGGGAAGAGCTGTGATCAGCTAGAAAACTGACAAGGAGGTACAAGCCCATTGCTTGCATAAAGGCACAGCGATAAAGGAAAGGGTCAGATTTTGAGGCCGCCTGACTGCAGAGTTTATGCTCCATGAGAATTTTACTTTAATTTTTACAAGAAAAGTTAACAAGAATTTTGAGTTTTAAATAAGGACTAAGTCAACTAGATGGGAGAGAAGTAGGGACTTTTTAAAAAATATATATTTTATTGATTTTTTACAGAGAGGAAGGGAGAGAGATAGTCAGAAATGTCGATGAGAGAGAAACATCGACCAGCCGCCTCCCGCACCCCCCCCACCAGGGATGTGCCCGCAACCAACGTACATGCCCTTGACCGGAATCGAACCTGGGACTTTTCAGTCCGCAGACCGAAGCTCTACCACTAAGCCAAACCGGTTTCGGCAGTAGGGACTTTTTGATCTGTAGATCAATTTTATTGAATTAGGGTTCAATAGAAACCTTAGTGCCTGCAAGCAAAGTGTATTACTAACAAATAGATAATCAATTAGAACTAGAGTCCAGGTTATTTAGTATACCTGTCTATGAATAACTATTACACAAATGTAATACAGAAAGACTTCTCTAGATTTTTAAGGAGAAATAAAACACTGAATTGTTTTTATCAACGCCTATAAAACAATAAAAACTATCATCTCAATATTTGTAGTTTTGGTTTGAATAAGTCAGAAATCACTCCAGGATTTTCATGCCTGAGTTCTATTTTGTTTTGACATCTGACCCCAGGCATTATATCACCTTTGTGGAGCCAAACCTCTTTCCCACACCAAACCCTCAGACCTCTAAGAGTACACTGACACACTCTTTTGAAACTATTGGGTTTGACTCATCTATCTCCCTCTCCAGTTTATAAATTCCTTGATGGTTTAGTATTCTTTGTGGATTGAGATCCTAATATAGACCGTTGCAGAGAATTGTATAGTATTTATTAAATTAAAATGAATTTAACTTTAAGATAGAAATTTACAATAGTCATTTTTACCACCTATTTGTAATCATATTACCTAGCCCATGATAAAAAATAATAAAATCAATCATATTTATAAAAATCATTACCCAAGGATATGTTCTCATTAGTTTTAGAGAGAGAGGAAGGAGGAATGAAGGAGAAACACGGATGTGAGAGGGAAACTGATTGGTTGCCTCCAGTGCCTGGCCCAACCAGGTATCAAATCCTCAACCTTTTGGTGTACGGGACAATGCTCAACTAATGACCCATCTGGCCAGGGGGAAAAATCAATCATTTAATGATTAATCCCATCTTTCTCTGAAAGCAGAGGAATTTTCATGCAAATAAATTAAAAAATATAAATAATGCAGCCTTTTAAAATATATATATATGTTTTTATTGATTTCAGAGAGGTAGAGAAAGGAAGGGAGAGATAGAAACATCAATGATGAGAGAGAATCATTAACTGGCTGCCTCATGCATGCCTCTTGACCACAATCGAACCTGTGACCCTTCAGTCCTCAGATGGAAAGTCTATCCACTGAGTCAAACCACCTGGGGCAACAATACAACCATTTTGTTTCAAGAGAAGATAAATTAACTAGCCACAAATAAAACATATCTTGAAATTTTTTAGAATTTTACCAAACCTAGTTGAGATTAGATAATTCTTTTCCAAGTTATCAGTAAACAGAAGAACAAATAAACCCCTGGAAGAAACTTGAAACAGAGACCTCACCCTTTTTTTTTTTTTCAAATAATAAAAGAAAACTGAATTACATGCATTGTGACACCTAAGCTATTGACAAATAACCCAAGGATAAAATCACTGCCCTTCCTAATATGCTGTTCAGTCAGACATTCAGTTTAACACTCACCATTTGTTTGCATAGAAGGTGCAATATTTCAGAAAGCAAGATTCCAGCTCTTCCAACAGGAAGTAAAGGTTTACAAAATTCTCTGTAAAAGAATGTAAAAGAAGTAAGTACCTCAGAACAAATTCCCTGTTCTAGAACAGTAGGCAAACAACATGTGCCAAAAGAACAGGTACTGTACATCTAAATAACACTGGGCCAGCCAAATCCACTACAGGACTCGGAATAATTTTTAGCAGAAATAGTTGAGAGACTTCAGGTTCATTTTATGCTTCATGGAGAAGCTGGAAATGGACGTTAGAATTCCTGGGTTTTGCCTTTTTTTGGTAATTGCTTCCATTATAAAAGCAACTGCAAGGCCCATTCTCACTTAATATTATCTATTTATTTACATAAATCCCTGCCTCAGTGGTTGAGCATCGACCTATGAACCAGGAGGAGGAGGTTCGATTCCTGGTCGGGGGACATGTCTGGGTTGTGGGCTTCATCCCCAGGTTGGGGCATGCAAGAGGCAGCTGATCAATGATTCTTTCTCATTAGTGATTATCTCTCTCTCCGTCTCCCTTCCTCTTTGAAATCCATAACACTATATTTTTTAAAAATAAACCCCTCGTTAAGCCGAAAGGAGAGAAACACTTTAGGTAATAGGGAGTTGTAAAAATTAGTTATTAAGTGTTTTTAAGAAAGGAAGCCTTTTTAAAAAATATATATATATTTTTATTGATTTCAGAAAAGAAGGGAGAGAGATTGATAGAAATATCAACCATGAGAGAGAGAATCATTGATGTCCCCTACTGGGGAGGTGGGAGGAAGGAATCGAGCCTGCAACCCGGGCATGTGCCCTTGGGACCCTTTAGTCTGCAGGCCGACGCTCTATCCACTGAGCCAAACTGGCTAGAGTAAGAGAGCTTGTTTTTTTTAAAAAATATAGATGAAACACAGAAATGAACCAATTTTTTCATAGTCTAAGCCAGTATTTCCAGGATCTCAATAGTCATTCCTTAAAAAACACACAAGTCTATAGTAAGTGAGGCAATGTGAATTAAACAAACCTGAATAGTTTTTCCTTTTTTTTATACTATAGAATTGGCATAATTTTGAATGTGCTATAATAAACTTGTGAATATCCAAGAAAAGAGACACAACAGCATATAGACTTTGACTATATGAACAGTTTTTTGGGAAATACTAGCCTATACGACATGGCAATAATTTTCCACTCAGGTTCAAATTTAGGAATGCCTGAGACCTCAGCTCCTTTTATAACAACCTGAGCATGAACTATGCAAGTGTCATAGTCTGATAAGCTATTATGTGGAAATACAACTTCTTACAACACTGGAGCAATGACAGACATAGTGCTAGGTAACATTAAGTTTCCAGGAGCAACCACCCTCTTGTCAGTTACGTGACTCTGGAGCCAAATCTATAATCACTGCTGCCCTCAGTGGACCACAAGGCTGGAATATCCCCTCACTTACGCAGTATAGACCTAATATAATGGAACATTTTTACATTAAAATTATAAGTCTCAAATAATCATGGGCTGCATCCAAGAGTCTCCATAGGCACGAAGGCAGCAATTTTCAACTGGTGTGCCACAAGAGTTTTTTCTATTTTTTTTTAAATACAGTAATCATTTAATGAATAAATGAATGAATTTATTCATTCATGAATTCATTAAGATTTATTAAACTTTAGTTTTACAACCTAATGTTAACCAGAATGTTAAGAATAAAAAATAAAATACATAAGGAAGTACGGTGAGATTATGTAGACAGGAGGGGAAGGGGGGCGGGGGGTGTCAGTCAATAGGATAGAAGAACAGGATAGGAAATGATGGCAGATCCTGGCACAGTTAGGAAATTCCTAGTAGATTAATATAACCAGACAAGAGTTTGTGTGTGCTGGGTTGGGGAGCAAGTGGTGGTAGGTGGGAACTAATTGGAAGAAGAAAGCTGGAGTTAGAAAATATGAAATTGAAGATAAAAACAAAGGCCAGATTATATAGTGTTTATTAGTCAAGCAGTTTGATCTTGAAGACAAATAGAAAATTTAACACAGCATAACATTTTTTGAGGTAAAGGAGTTTTCTCTTTAGATCTTCTAGGAGTTTTATGGTTTCAATCTTTGCTCCATTTCCAATTAATTTTGTGAGTGGGGTAAGATAGAGTTTAATTTATTCTTCTGCATTTGGTTATCCAGTTTTCCCAACATTATTTATTGAGGAGATTATCCTTTCCCCAGCCACAAGAATTTTTAAAACAGGTAATACGTGACTATTTAGTCAGGGGCACTGACCTTTTCCTTAGATTGTCAAATAAAGAAATGACAACAGCCAACATAACGAGAGCTGTTTGGGGTGAATGAGTAAAAATTATACCTATTTTTGTAAAATCAGCAAAAACAAATATTTCTACTTGTGCTGCAAAATTTTAGTAATAAGTGTGCCATGAGATGAAAAAGGTTGAAATTGCTGTACTAAGGGAACAGCACTATTCTAGAAGGCCAGCTGATGAGTTTTGCATCAGTTTAACTCGACATATAGCAAAAGAAACAAGAACAACTTACATGATAAGTTCTCGCATGGAGATTCCACCTTCTTTTAACATGGGAGTTACCAGTTCAGCAAGGTACAACCAAATATGGGGAATATCAATGGCCATGTCATCTGCTGTTTCCAATGTTTCTGAAAAACTAAAAAAGAAAAAAATTCACACGCAAATGTAATTAAAAAGTTAAGATTAAATAAAAAGACCAAAATCAGTCAGCAAAGAAGTGCCTATTAAGTACGTGCTATGTTAGGTACTGTTCTGGGCATAAAGTAACTGGTTCTTGTTCTCAAAGAGCTTATGTTAGTGTGGAAAGAGGGAGAGAAAAGCATACTTGTAGATAGGGTCAATTCAATACGCTCAGGAACATGAAATATGGTACTAGGATATCCCACTACAGCTGGTGGTCAGAAATACTTCTGTATTGAGGTGACATTTGAAAGACGTAAATGTTGGAAATGAGGCAGCCATGTGAAATTCTGGGGGAATAGCTATCAATTTAATCCCACACTATAAAGAGCTCATTACAGTTGAGTATCATATCTTTCGAGTCAGCCAGAAGCACTATCTGAAAATTTTGTGTAGTGCAGACCAGAAAAAGCAAAACCCGTTGTCTTTGAGGAGCTTACAATAGGAGAAAAACTGGAAGGATATAAAGAGTTGGACAACTTTACTAACAACATCAAACATTATAACATGTTACCAACTATTTATTATATCTTCAAAGAAAAGTTAATGGTTTGAAATATTTCTCAATATGAAGTGAAATAAAAGAGATTTGAATATAGTACTTATTAGGAAAGTCAAATACCAAAATATCAGTGCAATTTTACTTAGGCTCAACAGCATAGCGACTTAGTTATAAGCATAAAAATATAACCTAAAACTTTCTTAATTAGTCCCATATATAGCATTTTAAAAAAGTACACAGCAAAAGTAAATTTAAAAAAGGCGAAAGATTTATGCGATCTGAAGAGAAACAGAGTATAACAAAAGTAAATTTAATTATAGGAGACACACACAAGGAAATAAACATAATCACAAGAAAAGGGAAGAATGAATGACGAGGCCATGGGCAGGTGGTATTTGCCTTCATGTCCTCTCAGATCTCTGCATGTATAAAGTGTGTGCTTTTCCACTGCAGTTCTAGTTTCTAGCAAGTATGCCACTCTTCTTTCCCTTCCTCAGAAGCCTACACATTACGTCATTAAATTTTTTCACTTAAACAAAAAGGTACCACTACTAGGCACAGTCACCTTTCTAAAGGTGCTACTTCAAAACAGCGTGCAGCTTCACCACCTTCTCCAACTCTGGGCTTCATGAATTCTTAACGCCAACTTTCTGAATTTCCAGCTTGGAGTTACTTGACATCTATTTGTGATACAACAGATACTTGACTATTCTCCCATTATGTGCAGACTTTCAGCTCAGTTAATGTGCTTCTAATGGACCATAATCTGACGGACTCCAACATTTCTGGGTTAATCGCCTTATAATGCCAATTCATGTTCCACAGGTTAGTGGCATAGATTAGGCTGTTTAACGAGCCCGTGAGACAATAACTGCAGTCGTGCTGGTCGTTCAGCAGTATAACTGCTGCTATTTTCATCTCATATGACACCTAAAAGATACCCATATTCTTGCTTTGGTATTCTACTTCTCAATTAGTCCTGAGCCTATCTGCAGAACACAATCACTGGTCAAATCCATACTGATAAAAACGCACACACTGTGTTTGGCTTATCACAGGATTTCCATAAAACAAGCCAGTGAGGAGACATTTCTTTTTAGTTCCTAAATCCTTTTGTATGATTTAAAAGAAAAATCCGAGGTGTATAGAAGCTCGTCTATAACAATGCCTTGCAGAATACACATGTTCTGCTGCCTGAATGAAATAGAGCTATACCATGCCCCTGCTTCTTGGCATGTAGTGACCTTCACACTCACTGGACTGCACTGCGGAAAGGGTCCATCGGTGGGATTTCAGGAATCCTCTCCCCATTTCAATGACAGAAGATCTACTTTTACTTATTTTATACACTGGGTTCCTGCCTAAAATTTACTTTAGAAAAGGAGTACGCATGGTTAAAAGTTGGAATTTTAAAAAATTCAATAAAGGTCTGATCAGAAATTTGCTAAAAGGGCAAAATCATCTAACACAGTTTGGAAATGATATTGTCAGCAGCTCTTGCATAATTTGCATGAAGACAACTATATTTTAAATGGAAATTTGGCTGTAGATAAATAAGAAAGAGACAGTGAATATATCTAAAAGTCAGGTTAATCAAGTATTATTATGACTAATCAAATGAATCTAGCTACAGGTAAAAGGGAGAAATAAAAGAAGACGAAAAGCCTTCTACTGCAGTATCATCCGCAAAGACTATTTAATCTAGATCCTTCCTACATGAGAAAATCGGGTCTTCACTGTCCACTGGCACCTCTAAACTTGCACTTGAACCTTAGCATGAATGTCTGTGTGAGCTCTGAACTCTAACTGCTTACAAAGGCAGAAATACCATTGTGGCAAGAAAAGTTCCAAAATAGTAGTTCAGGAGGAGATAAAAATTTCCTCTCCAACAAATATTTCTCAATACCAACATATCAAGCTTCCTGAAGGACACATATTTTGTGTTTATTGTCAACTCCATTTTTTACCATCCTGGATATCATGTTTATTAACCTTTCAAAGTGATTCCAATTCTGTGGCTAATAGTTGAGTACACTCGCCTACCCTTACTACACACCTTTAAAAAAGAAGTCTCCTAGAGCCATGACAGAAAATGACTGTATCGACAGTGCTGCACCTACCCGCCTGCTTTACATCATAAAGCATTTAGATTCAAGTCCCGAAAATTCTAAGAGAATGGCTGATGTTGCCTTTGTGGAGATGTTTGATATATGGCGACTGTTATGCTCAGAGCTGATAGAGCATCTTGTAAGGAAAATTCCAAAGGTTCTAAGCTTTATTTATAAACAACCTGACAAAAAGAGCCTATTTGAAACTTCTGTCTCACCTAACTTAATATTCAGTAGCACTGCATGCCTTAAAAGGGACTGCAGGAGAGATGGCTCGCTTGGGAAACTAGACAGAAACAGCTTCAGTGACTGCTCAAAAGTTAGCATCTCAGCAGCAGCAGCACACAAGGAAGCTAACGTCAGAAGCTCCCCCACAATGCTGTATAAAAACAAAAATATTTGGATGTTGGGATTAAAAAGACAAAAGATTAGGACCTTTCCATGGCTCCAATAAACTGGCCTCTCTGGACAGCATGGACTATTTAGAACTTGGACTTTAGAGGTAATTGGGAAACTCTGGTCTATTTGCAGGAAGCCTCTTTGTGGATAATGACATGACACTATCGGTTTGTTTCCATCTTAAAAAAAGTTGCCAGGTCTCCGCATTTAGGGAGAAATAGGGGTCTTTGTAGAGGTTCTGACTATGGATGGCCTGGTTAGGTCTAATTTAATATTAAAAGTTAGCGTGGAAAAAAAAAAAAATAAAAGCTAGCCTGGAGCCACTGCATTACCTTTAGCTGCAGAAGGAAATAAAAATAGAAAAAGATGAAGTAGTTACTGAGACAAAGAAGTGTTAATCTCATTTTCAGTCTAAATAAATGGTGGTGGCAGTACCATCAGCAGCAGCTGCAGTGCCAGTGAGATTGTGGATACCACGACTGGAAGGCACTTTTTCCTCAAGGGACCAGCGAAGGGAAATGCAAATGTCTGAGACAGCCTAGAAACCCAGCCAGCACCTCACAAATTCAAGTAAAACTGATGAAGCCAGATACACTTGGGGTCTCCGAATATGAATCAATTTCTGAGTACAGTTTGAAGAGAGACATGAAACGGTAAATAATAATCCAGCATTTTCCAAAATTTCTGGTGACTATAGCATAATATCTGGGTAAAAGCAATTTTTTAATAAAATAATAGATATTGCAAATGTAATTTCTAGGGGGTTGAAATTATACTTTCAAGTTGCCTAGCGGCAGACCTGTTTGTGCGGGTGTGTACACCCCTCACTGCTTTTACTGTTTATACTGGCTGGTTACTGGAGTGAACAACTTATTTCTCTTTTAAAACTGGAAACCATCCTGGCCTTAAATGCCAACAAGCACAGCAATTTTTGCCAAAGTTTCTTATTAAATTAACTGGGACCAATGGCCTTAATCTAGTCAGAGAAATCTAACTTGCTGCTGAAAGACAACTTGAAAAAAATGTTTCTACTGATTTTTTTAGAGAGAGGGAGAGGTTGGGGGAGATAGAAACATTGACTGGTTATCTCCTGTATACCCCCTATTAGGGTTGAATAGAAATCCAGGCATATGCCCTGACTTGGAATTGAATCCATGACCTCGTGGTGCATAGGATGATGCTCAATCCACTGAGCCACACTGACCAGGCTTATAGACAACTTTTTAATGATCCTAAGGGCAAGTATAAATTTTCCAGAACCTTGAGGACAATGCCACCTTTCCTCACAAATCAAATGAGTAATTTTTCTAAGTACATTCAATCTTGGCATTTATTTTATTGTTTTTAAAATATATTTTTATTGATTTTAGAGAGGAAGGAAGAGGGATAGAGAGATAAAAACATCAATGATGAAAGAGAATCATTGGTCAGCTGCCTCCTGCATGCCCCCTACTGGGGATCCAGCCTGCAACCCAGGCATATATGCCCTTGGCTGGAATTGAATCTGGGACCCTTCAGTCTGCAGGTCAACGCTCTATCCACTGAGCCAAATGGCTAGGGCCAATCTTGGCATTTAATGATTACACTATTCTAAGAGGTTGACTATAACTGAAAGACACATGATAGCATTTCATCACATGTGTATTTAATGTTGAGATTAAAAAATTTATTCTTCATATACAATCTGAGCCCTGGCCGGTGTTGTTAAGTGGTTAGTGTTGAGGGATCTTGGGTTTGATTCCCAGTCAAGGGTACGTCCCTGGGTTGAAGGTTCGATTTCTAGTCCTGTTTGGGGAACATGTTGGGGGTGACCAATTGATGTGCCTCTCTCATATAGATGTTTCTCCCTCTTTCCCTTCCACTCTTTCTAAAAATCAATAGAAAAGATACCCTCAGGTGAAGATTAACAAAACAACAACAAAAAGTACATGAACTTGGCAAAAAAGATTTAGAAGGAGAAAAGTTACTTGAATAGTGCAGAATTCTTACTGCCACTCTGCTTAATGAGCTATCCCAAGTTAGTACGAGCTGGGGGATGTGGATCTGGTGTCCAGCCCCCAGGAAGTCTTAGTTCCTGTTCCCTTAGAGCACGTCTCAGGATGGCTGTGACATTAAGTTTATATTGTACAACATGGCCCCTAAAACTAAATTTTTTAACACATGTAATCTTCCTGTTAAATACTGCGTTTAGAACCTAAGCCTGGGTGAGATTCTATGGCTGCACCACAAAGAACTGATCCATCCACTTGTGATGATGGTGTAGCACAAAGAAATCAGAATCTGATCAAATGAGGATCAATACCAGTGATAGCCATCAAAGTAACCATCAGCAGGAATCAGAATGAAGCCAACCTGGAGTAGACTAAATCATTAACAACTTGGAGTTACATATCCTTCTATAGGGCTAACAGGTACAGACAAGCATTTACTGGCAAAAATAACCATATTTATTGAAAGGTTAAGTCAAACTTTCAAAAAATTTTTCACAAAGAAAAGTTTTTATCCTCAAAGAATATCCAATGGTTTATTAGACTGGTGAGGCCTCAGATTCCCCATGGTTAAAGGATCTCTGCTACCTTAGTTATGTCATAAGACTAGAGGCCTGGTGCACAAAATTCATGTAAGGTGGTGGTGGGGTGTCCCTCAGCCCAGCCTGCACCCTCTCCAATCTGAGATCCCTCTCACAATCCAGGACTGCTGACTCCTAACCACTCGCCTGCCTGCCTGCCTGATCACCCCCTAAACCACTCCCTGCCAGCCTGATTGACGCCTAACTGCTCCCCTGCCGGCCCGAATGCCCCCAACTGCCCTCCCCTGAAGGCCTAATTGCCCCCAATTGCCCTCCCTTGCAGGCCTGGTCCCTCCCCTTACCCTCCCCTGCTGGCCATCTTGTGGTGGCCAGTTTGTGTCCACATATGGGCAGCCTTCTTGTATTTTGGAGTGATGGTCAATTTGCATATCACCTCTTTATTATATAAGATAGGTCTACTTATGTCATAATATAGGTCTAACAATTAGTATTAAAAAGCAGAAGATAACCTTTATGATATAATACAGTCTACAAATGCCATCATACCAACTAACATATTATCAGTATTATACATCAACGTGTTAGAGTGGACACAATTTAATCTATGAAAAAAAGCTAAAAACTTAAAATAGATATGTGCTATTAAAATGAACTACTTAAGAGTCTAGTAAAGGAATACCACCATTCTTGAGGAGAATACTAACCCTTTGAAAAAGTCCTGCTTGCTGAGCTTCTCTGACTGCACCAGCTGATACAGTAACTGGCCCATGTGATCCCTGGTGATCTGGCTCCTTTCCAGGGTGGACTCAACCCCCACTCTCACAAACACGTGGAGCGGGCCCTGGGCATTCAGCTCCTCCACACATTGCATGGCTTCCTGTTCAAATAGCAAATAAAAGCTTACCCCAAGTCTAGATAGCATTACCAGAGGGTTAAAATAAGTTTAAAATCTCTTACTTATGACAAACTCAGTAGAAAGCTCGACAAGACATTTCCACATATAGTGTTTAAAACATTAATACAACTCAGTAAAATGCAGGCTGATATAGGCAATATTAATCTTATTTTCAAAACAAAGTAAATGTGTCTTTATAAACAAATGTGTTTAGGTTAACAACTTTATTCAAGATGACTCAAAGGACCAGAAACAAAAAAGTATTTTTCTACACAATGTTTGCTTATTTTATGATCATTTTAAAAAACTAAAAACGGTATATTATGAAATAGAAATTCAATGTCATGATTCAAAGGCCTTCCTTAAAATGGCAACTGAAGTAATTATGTTTGGGTATGTTAAATACTTGCAAAGTCTTCCATGAACAAGGTCTTCTTTGACAGTAAAGTGTATATGCTTAGCTTAAGTAATAAAACCCCTTATGAAGTTCTTGGGGTTCTTACCCTGGGGTGACCTGGCTAGGTGATATATTTGGCGTGGAGGGTAAAAGCCTGGCAGCCCGGGTTGCTGAATCGCCAATATAGCAGTGTGCCACCCTGTCCTCACCTCTCAACTTTGAGTACAAAATCCTTTGGTTTTACCTCTAAAAGGAGCAGCTCTTCTGAGGGGGAAGATGCATGGGAGAAGGGCAGCCTCCTGACTGAAGGAGATGGAAGGCCATGCAGGTGTCCCACTGATACTTGACTGCCCCTCTGCTACTTTATTTAATACCTCCCCATGTCAACTTTCTATCAGGAAAATTTCCAACTACAGGCAAATTAAAATAGTACAATGTACATGTAGACAGCTTCATCTCAATTGAGATTCATCCATTGTTAGTTTCTTTCCTCTACATCTGAGCAATTTAACATGCATATAATAGTCAATACAAATATTATCCAACATATATAGTACATACTCGAATTCCCATAATTGTTTCCAAATGTCCAATATAGCTTCTTGCTGTTTTAGGATCCAATTAAAAACCTGGCATAGCATGTCATGATGTCTCTTTAGACTCCTTTAATCTAGTCAGTCCTGTCTCTTATCCTTTTATGATACTGGCATTTTTGAAACATTCAGGCTAGTTGTCATTTCTAGCTCCATCTGCACCTTATGCACATTCAATCTGCTAAATAAATTGCCATCATCCTTCTAATTTCAAACTTCCAGAATATTGCTGCTGTCTATTACCTGTGCCTCATGCCTGTGGGTTTTGCCTCATATTCAGAGCATCATCATCATCATAATGCCTTTAAGGAGAGAGTGGAAAGGAATGCAAGTATTCCCTTCAATCTTCACTTTAACCTGAAGTGATTAAGTGTCTTTCAATGGAATTCACTGAATCTGCATAGATGGCCAACTAATCACATCACAATACTTCTGATGTCCAGCAGTTTATGATCCTGCCCTTCTCCCTGATTTTCTCATGGCTTGATTTTTCTTGTTGAGCTCTCAGCTGAAATAATATAGTATCTATGACTTCCCAACCATGGGCTCTTAAAATCACCTAATTTTACTTCTCCACACTGAAACATTTTATTTGGTAGCTGTTTATTTATTACCGAGTAAAGGCCCAGTGTATAAAATTAGTGCATGTGGGGGGTATGTGTCCCTCAGCCCAGCCTGCACCCTCTCCAATCTGGGGTCCCTTTCACAATCCAGGACTGCTGGCTCCCAACCACTTGCCTGCCTACCTGCCTGATTGCCCTTAATTGCTTCTGCCTGATAGCCTGATCACCCCCTAACCACTCCCCTGCCAGCCTGATCGACACCTAACTGCTTCCCTGCTGGCCTGATTGCCCCTAACTGCTCTCCCCTGCAGGCCTAATTGCCCCCAATGTCTTTCTATGCTGGCCCGGTCACCCCTATCTGCCCTCCCCTTAAGGCCTGATCACCCCCAACTGCCCTCCCTTGGAGGCCTGATTGCCCACAACTGCCCTCCCCTGCCAGTCATCTTGTGGCAGCTATCTTGTGTCCATATGGGGGTGATCATCTTGTGTGTTGGAATGAGGGTCAATTTGCATATTACTTCTTTATTATATAGAATATTTAAAGCAGCTTTGTCTGTATTTCCCACTAAAAGACCTATAAAAACAGACCAGGGATGCTCATTACTTATACTACAGTGTATTCAGGCAGTATTTCCTAAAATATGGCCGGCACATTTTAGATACTCAATCAAGATCTATCACAGAAGCTAAAAACAGGATGTAGCGTCAGACAAATATAAGTTTGAATCCATCCTGGCTCTGTCACTATTGTGTGAGTTGAGGAGTGTAATTTAATCTATCAGCCTTAACTTCCAAACAAAAGCTCAATAAATATTTTTATTACTGTTAACACGCGTGCACCAGTGTACCTCCTCAGCCTGGCCTGCGGGATCAGGCCAAAACCAGCTCTCTGACACCCCAAGGGGTCCCAGATTGTGAGAGGGTGCAGGCCAGGCCTAGAGACCCCACTGGTGCACGATCAGGGCCATGTAGGGTCGTAGGAGGTTGGCCAGCTAGGGAGGGACTGCGAGAGGGCTCCAGGGTATGTCCAGCCTGTCTCGCTCAGTCCCAGGACCCTAGCAGCAAGCTAACCTACTGGTTGGAGTATCTACCCCCTGGTGGTCAGTGCACGTCATAGTGACTGGTCGACCGGTCAACTGTCTGCTCCCTGGTGGTCAGTGGACATCAAAGTGAGCCGCTGAGTAGCCTTGGCATATCATTAGCATATTATTCTTTGATTGGATGAATGATAACCAGACACTTAACATATTAGGCTATTATTATATAGGATTATAATAGCATTTATTAAGATGTTAGGAAAAAACTCTTCCTTAGAAAGAGCTCTATAAACTTTTAGTGTGACATACTAATACCCTAAAGATAATAAGATAAAAGTATAGTTTATGCTCTAAAGCTAGCAGCCTGGCTTTGAATACTGAGTCTGCTACTTATCAGCAACATTACTTAAAGTACATTACTTTATCTCTTTGCATCTAACTTTCCTTATCTATAAAAATGGCTATTATAATATTAATACCAAAAAGGTTTGTGAGAATAAATGAATACATATAATATGTGCAAAATATCCCCTAGTCCATAGTAAGACCTCATTATGAGTCCCTTCAACACTGCAGGCTGGACGTAGGGCTAATGATGAATCCAAGAGTATTCTTGTTGCACATAGGTGTTACTAAGGTCTTTTCTCCCTATATCTTCAGCTCATCAGAGTCATATTTTTTCCTCTTTCAAATTTTTTGCTGCTCACTGACTTTTCACATTCCTCAAATTATTTCTAAAGCCAAATTCCACAGCTTTCTTCCTTACTGTCTCTGCTGTTCATCTTTTCATCTTTCTTAGCCTTTCCTCTTTCTTGCGAGTCTCACATTTCTCTACTACCACAAGACAAAAAAAGTACTTCTCCTTTATAAGAATCTAACTAACAAGTCACAGCATATGAAGTATATGCTTTGGCTCTTTTTTGTTAATGTTTATTTTTGCTCATTTTTAAGGCTTCTATAAAGTCCTCCTCTTGAAATTGCTTGTCATGAAAACTTCCTTCTTCTTCTAAATTTTGGACAATTTCATGGCTTGAGGTTTTTAGAAGGTTGGGCTATAGCTAACCCAGCTAGAGTTTTTTGTATGGAAAGCAGATAATAACTAGGTTGTCAAGAGAAACTTGGAAGAATTTTTCATTTTATATGCCAAAGCAAAGGACTTAATCTCTCTGACAAATGTTTTTTAACAAGCCTTTGTTTACTCCAGATCCCTAAATTAGGTCTCAGTATATCATCTCTCCAAAATAGATCTATTAGCATTTATTATAACTATAATTTACCTGTTTATGGTCTGTCTCTGCAACTAGACTTTTAGGGCACATGAAGCCAGGCGGTATATCTCTCTTATTCACTCTCACCTTAAAGTGAAGATCAAAGAGACACCCAGGGCTAACGAAGGGTAAATGCAAAGCTATGTTTGATTTAGGCTGTCTGACCCTGGCCCATTGCTTACTCCTCTGTGCCTCAGTTTTCTACTTATGAAATAAAGATGGAGTAATGTCAGCCATACTATAAAGTTAATATAAGAATGAGGATAAACCATAAAGATCATGAGAAGTAATAGACAGGGAGCTATCATTATGCCTCATAATGATAATGTCTTGGTTTTGGTCCTTAATATCAGAGCCAATTTGGTTACTCCATAGTGGGGGATGGGTTGGTACCCATTCTCTCTTCCTGTCATTTGATCTTATGAACTACATAATTTAAAAGAGGACGAGGCAGAAATGTATGAAGGTTGTGCAAACTGAGTGTAGGACTTGGATCACACATTCTAAGCCTTGTTAGTTCACAATGACAACTAAACAGAACCAAGTTACTATGTCTGTGTTAGGGCTTTCCCTGTTGTTACTTTTTTGAAAAAATATCTCATTTACCTTAAAATCATTAATGTGTAGAAATTCATCAATGACAGATTTGGACTTCCTCTCCATTTCCTCTTCTGACAATGAAGGCTTGTCGGGGGCTGATGTTGTTGGAATTTCTGGTTTCGCTACTAGTGAGATTTAAAAAAAGTGAGGAAGTGAAAATGACAAAAAGTATCATTAAAATGGTGGGATCATACTTGATAATGTTTACATGTTGTTACACCACTTTTTCCAGTAAAGGTATTAAAAATAGATACCAATTTGACAAAGCAAGATACCTAAAAGCAGAATACAGAAACATCTATTTTAGAATAGATATACAGTAAGGAAGTTTATAATCACAACAATTAAAAGAATAGAGGATATAATAAACATTTATAATTAAAGCTTTTTTGTTTCTTTCTGTATTTGGATTCCTCTCCATTGCTTCAAAGACGAAAAGCACATGAGGCTTGTATAATCACACCCAGAGTCACACCCACACTGGCCTTTGGCAAGTGTTGAACATGACATGGTTCTGCCTAATACCACTTTGCTCACAATCCTCCCTTGCCTGGAATGCGCTTGCTCTCTGTTCCATACCGGCCCTTTCCTACAAACCTGTTTTAAGTTCTATTGGTCCTTCCGTTCTTAAGGAGGCTTTTCTTATCTTTTTATCAATTCAGAATTCCTTTGTTAAATACTCCCTTACAATTATGTTTCTTTCCTCAGTTTGTACTGATAGGGAGCATTTTGTGGAACTATTTGGTAAAGGTCTTCCTGACCCAGAGACTGAAGACTGAGAGCAGGGAATGAGTGCCCAGTAGTCACTAGTTGCTTAGTGTGCATGTGGTAAATGATCAAGACAGTAAACATGCAAAGGGCAGCTGTGCTACATTATTTACTACATGGTATTTTCATGCCCTATTTTATTATATTCCCAAAATACTTGACACAGATATAAAAGCTACATGTCCTTAAAGATGGAGGATTTGGTGTCTCTATCAGTTGGGGGAAGAGATTTCAACTTACTTCTGAAATCTATTTAAAGATTATAGTTAGAAGACACAATTTAAAGAGTAAAACAAATTTTAAAGTTATAAACAACCAATATTAATTCAGGGTGAAGAGTTAGAAGATGCTAAAAATTACCTTTAAATTATTTTTCATCACTATCATTACCATCATCATCATCATGATCTCTAGCACCTTTGGAAAACTTTGTATTTATCAGGTAACGTTCTCAGTAGTTACATGAATTGACTTCTCATTTAATCTTAATAACCCTACACTGGTTATCCCCAGGTAGTAAATGAGGAAACTGAAACACAGATAGGTTAAACTCATGTAACAATTTTTAGAGCATTATCTGAGTCTTCCTCTAAGCATATACATGCTAAACGTACAAAACCCACAGATTACCACGGAAGATGAAGCAACAAAAGACAATCCGATACTCTCTCTCTGGTTTGCCTTGCAGTGTCTCAATGTCAGAATTCCATCCATTTGGGGGCTCTACAAACGCATATGCACTCTCTGCACAGTGGGGTGTTACGTAGATAAAGTGTAAGAATTTCAGACTGCTTACTATACAATTACACATCATCACCACATTTAACAAAGAAAGAAGAAATTTACAAACTGCTGAACAAAGGGGAACCTGAGGAGAACCAGGTCACAGAACTCTGAGGATGACGCCATTAACCTTTACGGCCCCCGTGTGTGTGTTGTTACCATGACATTTACTCAGGTACAAAGTCTCCTTTCATTTTTCCTTCCAAATGGAAGGCCCAAGCCTTCATCTCTATGTGTTCATAGCCTCTCACCTGACTCCCGGGCTTTGCTCCGGTCAGCCTCAACGATGTTCCTGTCCACATCCATGCCTCCTGTAAGCTGTTTCACGGTCTCAAGCATCTCTCTTCGTTGCTCTTCCTGGGACTGATTGTCTAAGAGGTCTTTACTGCTGCTGCCCCTTATGAAAGTGTTCGGACGAGCAGGTGCAGGTGGAAGGGGTTTGTCATTCTTCTCCCTGCCCGTGCTTCCACGACTTAAAAGCAAAACAACACTTGTCAAAAGAAAGACCACCATCTCCTTATGTATTTAAGTTATAAAGCAATTTAGTTTTTCTAAAGTATGCATAATAATTTTTTAAAATATATTTTATTGATTTTTTACAGAGAGGAAGGGAGAGAGATAGAGAGATAGAAACGTCGATGAGAGAGAAACATCGACCAGCTGCCTCCTGCACACCCCCTACCGGGGATGTGCCCGCAACCAATGTACATGCCCTTGAGCGGAATCGAACCTGGGACCTTTCAGTTCGCAGACCGATGCTCTACCGCTGAGCCAAACCGGTTTCGGCAAAGTATGCATAATAATTTTTGAGAAAACTTTAGATATGTGAGGTATTAATTATATATATATATATTTTTTTTTCTAAATGTATTTTATTGATTTTTTACAGAGTGGAAGAGAGAGGGATAGAGAGTTAGAAACATTGATGAGAGAGAATCACCAATCAGCTGCCTCTTGCACACCCCATACTGGGGATGTGCCCGCAACCAAGGTACATGCCTTTGACCGGAATCAAACCTGGGACCTTTCAGTCTAAAGGCTGATGCTCTATCCACTGAGCCAAATGGTTTCTGCATCAATTATATTTTAAAGTGTAATTATTTATAACAACATGTAAATCAGTGCTTTAAAGAGAATATTCATAACTGAAACCTATAAATTCATGTTGAGCAATGTCACCCCAATAAATTTAATTTAAAAAAGAGTAATAAGATAGCTTGGGAAGAGATTAACCAAAGAACTTATATGCATCTATGCATAACCTATGGACACAGACAATAGTGTGATGAAGGTCTAGGGGAGGGGCAAGTGCAGAGTGGAGAGGGTCACTGGGGAAAAAAGTGGACATTAGTATACTTTCAACAAAAAAGATAAATGTTGCCGAAACCGGTTTGGCTCAGTGGATAGAGCGTCAGCCTGCGGACTGAAAGGTCCCAGGTTTGATTCCGGTCAAGGGCATGTACCTTGGTTGCGGGCACATCTCCAGTGGGGGTTGTGCAAGAGGCAATGTTTCTAGCTCTCTATCACTCTCCCTTCCTCTCTGTGAAAAGTCAATAAAATATATTAAAAAAAGAGATAAATTAAAAAAAAAAAAGATAGGTTTAATTTTTCTCTTAAATTTGTTAAAGGGATACTAACTTAAAATTTAAAAATGACAATAGAAATTCCTTGTTTTACTTTTAAAAAACCTTTTAAGAATAAAGAAGACAGTGGTGAATATATTAACTAAATGAATGAAAAGAAAATAGAATACTGAAAGAATATGGTATCACTATCTTAGAAATTATACTATATTCAGAAATTTCAACTATATGAAAAATATTTGAAAAGCAAGAAGTAGAAGTAATTTTTAAATAACCAATCTCACAGACTTTAATTTTAAGAGAGAATCTTCCTGTTTCCCTATATAGTTTTCTTTTAGATAATTCTAACCAGCAAGACAAGCAGTTTCGCATCCATGGAAAATCAGAAGCTGAAAATTAATTAAAAGGGAGAGAAGAGGTTGAGGTGTGACAAGTCTAAACTCTGTAAAAAAAAGTTATACACACTCAAAAAGCACAGCCACCGGGGGAAATTTATAGTAGAGCTGAGAGCCACAAAGACTTCAATAGCACAACTGGTGTTCAATAACACTCCAAGTCATCATTAGAAAGTTGACTGGGTCCTAGCTGGTGCTGTTCAGCTGATTGAGCGTTGTCCCATGCACTGAGAGGTTGCTGGTTCAATTCCAGGTCAGGGCACAGGCCCAGGTTGTGGGCTCAATCCCCAGGAGGGTGTGTGAAGGAGGCATTTGATCAATGTTTCTCTGTTTCATGGACATTTCTACCTTCCTTCCTTTCTTCCGAAAGTCAATAAAAACGTATTTTTTTTTTAAAAAAAAGTTGATTTATGCTAGGCATATTTTGTCTCAAGTGTCAAGGGAATAGTAACATAGCTTAGGAAGTCTACCTAGTCAAGCATTACACTTGTAAAAAATAAAAGTTTGAGAGCATAAAGAAACTACAGCTCCACTTATATCAAAAATTTTGTGTTCACCCTGGTCAGGTGGCTCAGTTGGTAAGAGCATCATCGCATACACCAAAAGTTGGTGGGCTTGATTTCCAATCATGGGTTCGATCCTGCTCAAGGCAAGTATTGGAGGCAAATGATGAATAGTTCTTATGTCAATGGTTTTCTCTCTCCCTTTCTCTCTCTAAAAACCAATAAAAACATATCCTTGAGTGAGGGTTAAAAAAAAAATGATGTTCTCTGTCACTATACTCCAGGTCCTCATCAATTCTCAGATTAGCCAAAAGAACTCTTGACTGTATGAATCCTATAAACATAACAGTCAGAAGATAGTAGAATACGTAATAGGGGGGAAAAAAAAAAGACAACCTCAAATATGACTAGAAGAATAGTGTGACAGAGAGGTGTGTGTGTGGGCTGTCAGACCTCCTTTTCATCTCCATGCTTGCTAAATTATCCGAGAGTATCCTGTGGCATTAGCTTGGAGAGCCCTACACAGCCCCCAGGACCTTTTGAATCAGTCTGGCTTTCTTAAGGAACAAACCATTAGATATTTGCCAGATTAACGTACCCTTTTTTTCCATCCCATCCCAGCCCAATTTTGTTCTTATTTGGAAATTATAGAATGTGAAGATTAAAGGAAGAAAAGCAAAAGAAAAACAACCTTAGGGATGATAGAAATCCATCCACAAGGATTAATTTGTGTGGGCACCTGTGTGTGTGTGTGTGTGTGTGTGTGTGTGTGTGTGTGTGTGTGTGTGAGAGAGAGAGAGAGAGAGAGAGAGATAGAGAGAAAGAGAGAGAGAGAGACATAGTGACAAGTAGGTGAGTCTTGAGCTAATATGGTTAGCTGACGTCTTCTTACCTGGTTAAGGTCCGCCGGGAATCAAACTCTAAAGGTGTGGAAGATGTAGACCCTGAGGGTGCTGGAGGTTGTAAAGCAGAGAATCTGTTTAAACTGGAAGCACTTGACCGTAAGGGATCTATAGGTGTTGAGGATTGAGAAAAAAATACAAATGCCATGACTAAAATGCAGCTTCTAATTCATCTGTCTCCTGAGGTGGAACTTGAGATTAGACATTTCTAACAAATCTAACAAGGTGATGCCAATCTCCTGGTCCACAGACCATATTCTGAGAAGCAGACTGTTAGAATTTGTATAAAAAAATTAAAAACCTATGCTAATTACCACAATTTGTTCTTGTTTCTTTAAAAACAATTAAATTATCCTTTGGGGATGGGAGTGATAAACAGAAAGGATGGAGGCAAACAAAAACAAAACAAAATACAGTTGATCCTTGAACAACACAAATTTGAACTGTGTAGGTCCACTTAAATATGGATTTTAAAATAAATAACGGTACTGCTTTTAATCCACAGCTGGGAGTCTGCAGATGCTGAAGGCTGACTGTATGCATTGACCTGCACCATTTTATACATCCAGGAGTTTGGTATCTGCAGGGGCGGGGGTGGGGTGGGGAGAAGGCTGGAACCAATACCCCATGGATACCAAGGCACAATTTATGTTTTTGGGGAGTCTAAATTATACACGGACTTTTGACTGCAATGGGTGGAGGCAAGGAAAAAGAAGTAGAAGTAATTTTTAAATAGCCAAAATCACACACTTTATTCATTTTAAGAGAGAATCTTCCTATTTCCCTATTTAGTCTTCTTTTAGACAATTCTAACCAGCAGGACAAGCAGCTTCTCACCCATGGCAAATCAGGAGCAGAAAATTAATTAAAAGGGAGAGAAGATGTAGAAGTGTGACAAAAATTCCTCTCATGGTTACACCAGCTGAATTTTCTCATCAATTGTGGGCTGTAACATAAGAGATATCCTTAACCCTAAATTGTTGAAGGATCAACTATATTTCACTTAAAAAAAAAAAGTAATAGAAATGTTATGATCTCATTTATGTAAAATTATGTAGGTTTAAATAATATATACTTTTTTTTATTTAAAGAAAGGTCAAAATTACTTATTGATAGTAAAAGGGAAACAGGGAAACAAAGTTAATAATGAAGTTTTTATTTTTTCCACAGGGCTTCTTCAGCTTTTAAGATGTGTTTGTCAAGGTCACATCCCAAGGTCAAATTTTTCAAAATATGACTTTTGGTAAAAAATTCTGAAAACGATTTCAATCTAATTATTTTTTACAACAAGCTAAAATTAAATGCTCTGGCTATTAACATTCTTTTTCTCAGCAAAAATGAATTTGTCTTTTAAATTACTGTTGTTCCAGTAATTTCTGTTATTATATTGAACTAGGAACCTGGTGCACAAATTCATGCACTGGTGGGGCCCCTTGGCCTGGCTGGTGATCAGGGCCATGGGAGGTTGGCCATGGGAGCACAGTGACCACCAAGGGGCAGCTCCTGCACTGAACGTCTGCCCCCTAGTGGTCAGTGTGTGTCATAGTGACTGGTTGACCAGTTGTTGGGTCGCTTAGGCTTTTATACAGATTTTTTAATAACAACAAAGGAATCTAAGAGATTAAAATCTTAAAATTGCTTATTTAAAAATAAATAAATAAGGAACACTTTTGAAGAGGAAGTCATGTTGGTCTGGTCATCAGTAAGTTTGCGCAGGTTTGTTTACAGATGCTTTTCTAATGTCATTAAATGATGTAGGAATGTGCTGTAAGGAAAGTGCTGAAGGACTGCAGGTTCCTGGGAAGGGGCTCGCTGTGCTTACCCGTCTCGCTTGCCTTTGCTCCACCGCTGCTGCCTTTCCCCCAACTGCCCAGCTGTGCTTTCGGTACCAGCTGGATTTTCTCATCAATTGTGGGCTGTAACATAAGTGATAAGAGTCAATTCTAGGCAATATTCTAGAAAAACGCTTTTTCTTTTCATTTTCAGTGCAGTAAAATCAATTTAAGCAACAAAATTTTGCTTGGACTGCTGATTTAAGAAACATAAATTGGAGCTGTTCACATTAAAGTGAGATTCCTGTGGCCACTGAAGCACTTCCTTGGAATCCAGCTTCCAGAAAACACAATTTGAAACCATTGGCTAGTCTGGAGAAAAGTATTCAAGTCCTGTAAGATGGTGTGCTAGTTTGCTAAATGTAAGCAGTTTCTAATGGTTCCTCTTGTATAATAATACCCATTGATTTAAAAAATAAAAAAGGAATATACAAATACCACTAAATTAACTCATTAATCTCTTCATATGATTGTGAGAAAACAGGTCAAAAAACGAAACAATTTCACATTTTAGCACAGCCTAATATAGTGTGGGGCTAAGGATGGAGACGTGGAATGGAATATTCAAAAAGGGGGCTAGAGAAACAAGAATAGAATGTTAGGTAGGGAGTTAAGATCTCTTATCTTTCAGGTTTAACCCTCCATGCACATTTAAAAAACATATATTTAATTGATTTTTTACAAAGAGGAAGGGAGAGAGGGATAGAGAGCTAGAAACATCGATGTGAGAGAAACATCGACCAGCTGCCTCCTGCACACCCCCGACTGGGGATGTGCTCACAGCAATGTACATGCCCTTGACCGGAATCGAACCTGGAACCTGTCAGTCCGCAAACCAACGCTCTACCACTGAGCCAAACCAGTTTCGGCTTCATGCACATTTTTAGTGCAAATGAATAGAAATACAATGTAACACAAAAACTGTAATGCAGTTCTTTTTAATAAAGGTATTACTATATTCTGACAGTGCTGTCTTGCTATATGACACGCTTTCACATAAATCCCTCCTAGTTAACAATGAATTTGTTTAATGGTTTTGACTTTTTCTAGGATAGACTTATATAGAGCATATTATGAATATAAACAAAATTGGTTAAAAAACAATTGATATATTTTTCAAAATATTAAAGAAATAATGTTGTAGGTTTAATATCAGCGCTATTCTTTTTTAGAGTGTCCATTCATAGAAACAACAGTTAAAAACAGACAAATACTGATAACATTTGCAAAGATACTGAAACTAATGTTGGGAAAATTCTTTAAACATAAGATCTTCGTTAATACCATCTCTTGCTGAAAATGAAAGTGGATGAGAATCAAATTGTATTCAGCAATGGAATTCCTGATCTAAGTCATAAACAACTAGAAGAATGTACCAGAATCTTTGAGAATAGGATCCTAGCTAATTAACATCAAGAGAGATCCAGAGAGGTAAAGTTCTATCATGAAGCAAAGCTTTGACAAAACCATAAAGATGCAAAGACATATTCCATCTTCTTCCAATTTTATCAAAGTCTATTTTCTTTTTGTCAGTTATCTTCTTTCATTTGATGTTTTCACATTAATTTTAGATTGTCTTTAGCATTCTACTGGCAGGCTGCCAATTTTCAGAACAAGAAGTACATTATAACTAAGGATCAAACTAGACTTGCAACTAATTTGCCAAACGCACTGAGCTATAGAAACTTCCACTTTCACAAAATGTAATTCTGCTTTCTCTATGTTCTTCACCCTACTTAAGGTGATCAACTTCTGCTGAAAACATCTGCTAGGAGAAAATTGCCTCTCACTGCCCATAGGGTCTCATGAGAGAGGAAATGAAATTGAATATATTAAACATTTATCACAGAATGATTTCTAGTAGGTCCTCTGTTATTTCTTTTAGGCCTTGAATATAGCAAACCATTAAGTCCTCTCATGATTAAACAGCTACTGTAACTATTTTTTCCCCCCCGGAGCTAAGGATACACTGTAGTAAACCCTCATAGAAATAAAAAGATGCTAGGACAAGTATGTAAGAATACAATGAGCAATACTGACTTGTAGAAAAAAAATAATCTCATAAAACCTGCATTATGGCTATTTTATATGAGCAAGAAGTAATCTACCCTTGCCTCTCAATCATATTATGAAGCTGTTATGTTTTATTATTATTTTAAATATGTTTTACTGACTTTTTAGAGAGGAAGGGAGGATAGAGATGGAAACATCAATGAGAGAATTGTTGATCAGTTACCTCCTGCACACCCTTCACTGGGGATCAAGCCCACAACCAGGCATGTGCCCTGACCAGAAATTGAACCTGGGACCTCTTGTTTCATGGGTCGATGCTCAACCACTGAGCAACATTGGCCAGGCAACTGCTTTTAAATTTAACACTCACCTTAGTGATTTTCAGGAATTTTGAGGGGTCCAGTACTCGACTATTCTTGGCCCCTTGTACAGTGTTCCACCCGCCTTCATCCACTCTCTGGACACCTGCCGGGAGAACAGAGTGAGCCCATCTCTCATCTGTCTTAAGTCGGTTTGACAGTGGAGGAGTGAGCAATAGTGTCAACTCAGCAGCTCAAATAAAAACCATACAAAAAACAACAACAAAAGAAATGGTTAAAGCATTGCTGACAGTCTCTATAACTGCCACATAATATGAAAATATCAAGCAGAAGCACTCTGCTTATACTGGATCTCCGATGAAACATTAATGACCGTGAAATCAAGTGATACAAATGAGTAGAGGTTAAGTGCCAGACTAGCCAGGGAAAGAACAAAGCTAGCTTTTACAGAGTTAATGATTGTGCTGGTAGAGTTTATGATTAAAACACTTTGGGAGAAATCAGATGGAAATTATTTATTTCAATGTTTATTTCATTTTAAGGAGTCAAATGATAGTATGCTTCAATCATTCTTTGAAACCTGCTTCTTCAACCTTTCAACGTCTCAGCAGAAAAGCCTGACATCTCTTTCTCACAATTTGCATCCATGTGTTAGCAAATTTTGTCAGGTTAGCCACTGTAATATATTCAGCACCTAGTCCCTTCTAGCCACTACCAATACTGCCAATCTGATGTAAGCCACAAACATTTCCTCAATCAGTAAAAAAATCTCTTCCATAGCTCCCCTACGTCCTGTCTGTTTCATCCTGCCTGATGCCTGCCCTGCACCACTCAACACCCACGGCCCACACCAGGCTGTTGTTCCGACTCTGAGTGGCCAGATCATTAGGAGCAGCCCCCTCACTTCCCAACCCCCTGCATAGTAAGGGAAAGTCTGCAAATCTTGGTATGTGAAGGGACCAGGAGATAGTGGCCCCCAGCCTCTGGTTAGTAAGTCCTTGCTTCTTTCTAACTACCCACCATGCAGTTCTTATTATGCAATCATAATAATTTGGCCACTCAGTGTAATTATTCAAAGTGTGTGTATATATATTTTTTGGGACAACCTAGATAAACATTACTTAGCTTCCTCACTTGCTCAAAAAATAGCAACTTTAATAGGTTTCCCAACTTCCCTATTGAAACTTGCAACCTCTACTCACTCCCTCTTCAGCTTAATTTTTTTCTATAAAACAAATTTATCTGACAAATATTTACATTTAAGTATTTGTTTATTGTCCCTCCTTTTCCCCCTCAGTAAGATGTAAACTGCATAAGAGAAGTGACTTTCTCCTGTTAAGTGAAAGGCACTCAATATATGTTTGTTAAATAAAATAAATGAATAAAAGACCACCAATCTATTAAAAAAACATTTCTCATCCTCATATACTTCTTGGTTTTCCTTATGCTGATATTACTGATCATGAGCAGACTTGCTTCTTCCTTGTGTCTATGACACTTATATCCTAGTAGGTACTCCTTCTCCACTTGTTTTTTTATCTGTCACTTTTCCAAGAGTTCTTTAAGTCAACTGTGGATACTTCCTGGATTAGGCTTTCATTTTTTTCCTTTCAATCTGTTTTGATAATAAAAGTCATTACCAAAAAGGCATTATGTTAGGTACTGGGGTAGGAAGGTAAGTGTGGTGTCCCATGAAACTTAAAAAGTACTCTTTCTTCCCTGGAGGATTAAGATGAGATCTATTGTGTCTGTGATAAATAACCGCTAATGATTATTGAGTATTCACTAGTGTCAGTTGCTACGCGGGACATGTTAATATGCTACCTCATTTCATCCTCACACAAATTCCTCAGTAATACTAATATTAGATCCATTTTACAAATTAAGTGACCTGTGCTAGGTCACACAGCTAGGATGTCGGATAGCTGAAATTCAAACTAGACAATTTGGCCCCAGAGTCTACACTCTCTTCCACTATACTATCTGACCCAATCACTGGCCTGCTCACTTAACTCAAAGTGGACAAAGGAGATTCCCATTTGGATGCCCTCTTGTCATCTAAAATTAAGCAGGCTTCAAAGCAATATAATTTTCTTCTAAAAATGGTTTCCTCTTTCTATATTCCTCAACTTAGACTGTGGACTTTCTATATATTTTCCCTTTTATTCCATCGTTCATTTATTTTCCTTTTTACTACTATTGCTATTAAGTCTCAACTCCTCCCACATAGGATTTCAACAACAGCAAGATTTCTGAGTTCAGTGTACCCGTCTGATCCATCATGTGAAAAGCAAGACTTATTTTATTTACATACCTCCAACATGATATTACTCCTTTGCTCAAAAAACTTAACCATAATGTTTATCAAATCAACTCAAAAATTCGTAATTTGGTTCCAGACATTTTTCCATTCGTTCTGAACACTTAAGTTTTTCCCAATCAGGTTTTCTTACTCTTTAAAATATATGTTTAATTTCATAACTAAAATTTTTCCTTCTCTTCCAATTATCTATCATCCTCAAATAGTGTCCCTTCCTCAAATAAAGATTTCTTCCAGTTTTCTATCTCTCCTCTTCTCTGAATTTTTATAACCTTAATGAGACTAAATCTTATAATTGGTAATATTTTCCATTTGCTTGACAAATATTCCCTTTATTAGGTTTGCCTTCTCAGTTAAACTTTAAGTTTTTATGTCTTTTATACCTTTTTATATCTCTCAATACTGAGTATATAGGAGATGTTCAATAAAGTTTTGTTGATTATTGACTTTGAAATAGTCAAAGAAATCATGTTTAGTTCTTGCATTCTCTGCTTTAACTCAATACCCTATCTCCAGATGAAACTTCACTTACCAATTACTCTATTCTTTGGGTTATTCTGTCTGATTTCATTTAACATCTAAATATAGAATTCTTAAATGTTTGTTCCTCAAACTTCTAACGCCCATGGACTCCACCCCTCACCTGGTCTTCTCTTCTCTTTGGTCATGAGCTGTTGGACCTTCCTTTGCTCTTCTTGTTCTTCTATTTTAGCCTCTTTGTGAATCTGTTCAATAGTTTTAGGCCCTTGATCTGCTCTTCGAGATACCCAATTACACTATAAAAGGAGAAAATAAGGTTATCAGCCAGATTAACTAAAAAGAAAATTTAAAAAATTTTGAAGATCTATTTTATACTTTTCACTGCTAGAAAAGTATAAAATACTTATAAAATCTGTTACTTCAGTTTTTCTTCTGAACTACAGATAGCACTATGTGCGATTTGGGGATTAGAGCTAAAGAATTAAATTCTTCGCAATCAACCCTGAACTACTGTATACTGAGCCTTCCAATAGCCAATGGATAAAAAGACAAGTTGAAAGACTAGCCCAAGTGTATTTTTTTCTATTTTGTATATCTGCAAAGAGGAGAGAGAAGAGGAATCAAGAAAGGTCAGGATTCTTTCGCCTTGCCTTGATCTGGGATACTGCGACCCAGTTCATATCACACTCCATGGGGGTTCTAATTCAAGGATGACTAGCATTTTTCTTTTATATCATGGTCTGGTAACCTACACAAAGTGCCACACCACTCTGTCCTTTGGTTATCCTGTGAAGGACAAAACAAGCTGTCTCCTTATAATTATACTTCTCTCTTTCCCAGCTGCAATCCAAACATCCTATATAATAAAAGCCTTATATGCCAACTGTCCCCTTGGGTGGTCGTGCGACCAGGAGACCAGGAGTTCGACTGCTCGCTATGACGTGCGCTGACCACCAGGGAACATGGTAGGTGTCAGTGACACGGAGTTGGCAGCAGGCAGCAGTGGAGGCATTGCCGGCCCTGATGGGCCCCAAGGAGAGCAGGACTGTGGAAGGATAGTGGAGCAGCTGAGTGAGGAGCACCAGGCCAAGGCAAGTGCTAGTGGGGGCCGAGGTGCTGCCCCGGGCCCAGAGGTCAGCTAGACCCACCCTTTCATGCCAGAAGCTCACGCTTTGATCGCCATGGACTGCGCCCATGCTTGAATTTCGTGCACCTGACCTCTAGTTTAATGTAAGTACAAGTGGTTGAAGGATTGAGTAGATAAGTTTTTCATAATTATATTTTTATATTATCTAGAGGAAAGGATGGTTTAAATCAGCATTCAAATTCTTATAAACTGGCAATGGTTGTAGTAATAAGGATTCTGAGATCACATCAGGGTTTAACAAGATAAATAACCATAACTGATGCTAGCTGATTTGGGTGCAGAGCAGGGCAGGGCAGGGCAGGAGTAGAACCTATATTCGCTTTCTGTATTTTATGGTCATTGCAGTATCTTCCTTGCAGGAGTTAAAATATGAAGACACAAAAGAGGGGAAAGTGGTAAAAACTGTTTCTGGTATGAGAAATGAAAATGAAAGCAGCACACACAGGAAGCTCTACCGGAAAAACAGAAGAGGGGAAAACATCTCCTCTGAGCTAGACACCTCACTGAATCTTTACAATCCATCTGCAAGGAAGCAACACCCCATATGAGAGACTTAAAATATAAGGCCCGGGAAGTTAAATGTATTTATTTTGGAGATGAGGCTTCCTGATTATTTAGCATCCTGAGACTAAATGTAATGGATCACAGTTTGAATTCAGAATGGCAGATTTTAAAACTGCAATGTGGTTTGATAACCAAAGTGAAGAGAAAATACACACACCAGGCAGGTATATGTGCCTTCAGTTCTTTCACACAGCTCTCCATGAAACTTTGCCAATTCAATTTCTGACTCCAAGAGCAAAAGCATTTAGGTTTTTACATGTGTAAATATGAGGACGTACTCTCCAACCCAACTCCTTAAGAGAGACTGGAGTGGTGGGCTCATTATTTTCTACTTACCAGACGAAGGTCTATCACATCCTGAAGCATGAATCGAATCCTAGATGAGGTTTTTCTTTCTTTCACAATTTTCTCCATCTGATTAAAATACTGGTCCATCCGTGGCTACAAGAGACAAAATCATTAGTATTCTTGGGTGAGGAATTCAAGTGTAATTTTACCATGTAGAATTTTTAAATGGCCTAGGAATTCAAGTAGAGACAAAAGGTAATGTGGTAGAATTTTTAATTGAGTATATGACACCCAAAATAAAAGCTAAAAATTTCATGCAGCTGGCCATGGTCAAACGACTAATTATAGGCCAACCAAACATAAATGGAAATGTCCTATTGCAGCTCCCTAGAACCTTGAGAGAGAGGTGGCTATGTCTTTGCAGAGGCCACATCTTAGGAGTAAACAGAATATTAGGCTGGAGAAACGGGGTGTTTTGATCATCAAACTTCACGTCTGAATTTGACTTGTACCTACAAGAAATAAAACCTCAATCTTGTATAAACTACTAACATTTGGGGTTTTCTGTCACATCAAAACATAATCCTACCTATGAAATATTTGACATTTCTTTGAAGCATTTCTAATCTCCCAACTCCTTATTTGTAGAGCACCATGTTATGTTTTGAATTACGGTATTTTTAATTATTTCTTATATTATGATTAAATAGCTGTATCATTAAATAGATCATGGATTTAAGGAAGCCACTGGGTTTTCTTCATTTCTTTATCACCCTCAATCCTGACCATTAGTAGTTTTCCCCCCTTTATTTCTGCTCATAATTTACATATACAAGTGACCTGTGAAATGGTAATACAGAAAAAGGACAAGGCACAAATAAGCTGAACAGCTCATGAATGGACTTTTATGTAATTTGTGAGCTCTTCACTTCTGATATTAATGGAAACGAGGTAGGGCATGCTGGTCAAACACTAACAATGGGAGGGGCAACAGAGAAAAATAAGCAGTCTCAAAGACTGGGGCACAATGGACTGTCTTAGTTCTTTTGAAATAGACATACTCCCTGCTGGAGGTTTCCGATTTTGGACTTTACCTTTGCTTTCTCAAAATCCAGATCTTTGCCGATGGTGGTGAGCAGGCGACACAGACACTCCAGGGATTCTTCATCATGGTTCTTCAGCAGTTTCACCACACAGTCATGCATGATGGCTTCAGTCAGCATCTTGAGTTTAAAGAGTTCTCCGATGAACTTGATGTTACCAATGGATCTCCGCCGGGCTTTGTCCTTAGCTTCTTCCAGTTCATCGTGAAGCCTTGTCCTCTCCTCTGGCTGTTGTATAAGGAAGAGAATGATGATGAAAACTGTACTGCATAATGGACACTAAAAATACACTGAACTTCACGGTCCTTACCCTTTCTGGGGTCAGGATAACCTTTGAGAATCTGACTGCAACTAAAGTCCTACTCCTTAGAAAAATGAACAGTACTTAAAAGTTTACATCCATTTCAAGAGATTTCTGGTACTCAGCGACGTTTCTTAGGATGGTTCTGAATCCCTGACTTAAAAGGTTGAGTCACTCTAACATGCAGTATTAAAAGAAACAAAATTTTCATCTATACATCAATAGAGTTTCTGCACATGAAGAAAAGGCCACAGGCACCTACAGTAAGGAGATGTAGTAGCAAGCGACATAAAATTCCATTTGATAACACTCAGACAGCACAAGCACTTTCTTTCTGTGAAAAGACTTACAGCACTGGCAGCCTCCAGTTCTCTCTGCTTCTTCTCAAAGACATCATCATCTGCTTTATCTTTTTCAAACTCCTTCTGGCAACGGTTCAATAGCAGCTTCCGGAAATTCACTGTGTTCCCAGGCTTGTCTGCCATGGGCACTTTCAGCTGCATCCAGATGGGAAAATGTAAAAGCAACAAGATTACTTAAATATGTTCAATGATTTTCTCAAAATATCAATTTTATGTATTTGCAAAATAATGCTGACGGGACCACAGGTAAGCATTCTACAAGAAGTATAAACTCAGTGTCAGGCATTTCATGTTTAAATGGTAAGATGTCCTAAATTTTATGTAGAAAAGATGCACATTCCTCTCTTATAAATGTACTCTTATCTTTTATGGCTGGTTGTGCCTTTAGCTGACTTTGAAATCTATGTAAGATTACTACAAATATGACCCCGTACTTATCTACACGTTTTTAGCTCTGCAGGGCTATTTCTTTTGTTTTTTTTTTACTATTATTGTAGGTACTTAGTTTAAAGAAACAAACAAAATTGCATGAATTTCATGGTCAAAGGAAAAAGGTTGTAGGTGAGATCCTTATTCTAGGAAATAGCAGAGGGAGGAAAACATTTTTGAGAAATCTTTTCCTCAGGAGAATGTCAAGATACTGCAATGCTAGTACTTACTTTAACTATCAATATATGATGCTTATTGATTATTTCAATAGACTAAAATGTCCTATTTTACAGATGAAATCCCCCTGAGCACCGTTTTAAATAGCTATGGCATAACATGGCAAAATGATTTTTTTCTGGAATCACTAAGTGGCTCCCAAAGTTCTGAAATGCACGGTATTTGCCCTAGGTCTAGTGAAAAACAGAATGCATTGTATTTATACTCACAACAGTTAATATTATTAACCTGAATGGACTTAAACAGCTGCTGACGAAGGCTGACTGGCTAGAGAAGCTTATTGAGAATGGAGACTAGGAAGCTACAGTGTATCTGTGCTAGAACTGATGGTACATTCTCTAACACAGTCCCTATGACATATGAGAGACCATTTAACAACTGCCCAGTCTAGTCAGCCAATGAACCAAGTGTTTCATTACATTTTAGACAAGCACAGAAATGCTAACATGTCCTTATCTCCAAACTCAGGCATACAACTGGAAGCGGCTATAGGTCATTTCATGGTCAGGCCTACCCTATGATCAATAAGAAGGTAGGCATTTAATCAGCCTTTCAGAAAAGAAACACCACTACATGAAGGCAAAGAATTTCTAAAGCAAAAGCCAGAAGACTCAATTTTCTAACATTTTAGGACCGAGGATATACAACAACGAGACACAAAAGAGAACCAAGAGGCACATTCACGAGCAAGGTGGTACATTAATAGAGAACCAGCATGATGTTAGGCTCCAGAACACACTAAAAAGGATCTAAAAATCAGCAGTTATACCCAAGGTGCTACTTTATTTATTTTAAACCCTCACCTGAGGATACATTTCCTATTGATTTTTGAGAGAGGAAGGGAAAGAGAAAGAGAAAGGGCAGGAGCAAAAAACATCAATTCCAGTTGTCACGTGACTTTGACCAAGTTACTTAGCTTCATCAAACCTGATTCTTTCTAAAAATGAGGACATCTATCAGGACAGCTGGAAGGATTAAATGAAATGGTCTAAGTAAAGCAAATAATAGTGGCTGGCACATGGAGTCCAATAAAAAAATATAACTATGTTTAAACAATTGGAGCTGTATTTGACAAAAGTTTATGATTAGAAATTAAGAGTAACCTAAACTGTAATATAGATTCCAAAGAAAGTATATAACAAAGCTCACAAAGCCATTGGGGAGAGAACCACAAAAGGCAAGATAAATGAATATCTGCTATTCCCAAATAATGGTCATGGCACATTTTATATGTGTAGGACCTAAAGGGCATATAATTTTGCATAATCTTTTTAGGTATATTCATATGGAAGTACTAAGACTGAACAACAAGCACAGATATGCACAGATATGAATGTCTGTATATCTCATAATGGAGCACCTCGCTACACAATCCCCTAAAGACTTGTTTTGGAACATGATCTTAATGTCTTCTGGGGAATGGTTAACAGTGAAATAGGGAATAGACCAGTGAAAACATATCTTCTTAGAATAGTGATGTGTGATAATTTTTTAAATTACAAATACAACAGGATGATGACATTACTAGTATTAAGTTAGCATGTGTCGTCCAGGGGCATAGACTGGTTAGAGATCCAATGAAACCAGTTAGAAGAGAACTTTAAGAATGGGTGTCTTACTCTGCTAAAGCTACTTAAACAATAAATACCACAGACTGGTGGCTTAAACAACAGATATTTATTTCTCACAGTTCTGGAGGCTGGAAGTCCAAGAGCAAGGTGTAGGCAGATTTGGTTCTTGGTGAGAGCCTTCTTCCTGGTTTGCAGACAGCTGCCTTCTGCAGTATCGTCATCGGATGAAAAGGAAGCTCTAGTGTCTTCCTCTTCTTATAAAGGCACTAATCCCATCATGGGGGGAACTATATGAACTTTTTTGGGGCCGACACACAAACATTTACCCGTAACAGTGGGCAAGGTAGATGCTTGCACATGTGCCCATGGCTAATAGAAAAAATGAAAGGGGATGTGCAAAGGTTAGAAAAAGATCTCTGACATCTTTAGTTTTCATTTAACTATAGTCCATGATTAAAACTAAGATGTTTCAAATGAGTTGTTTGGTAGATGGCTTCTCAGGAAGTCAGGAAATACCTATATTTTCGTGAGGCTGCCTGATTAGCTAGATTTGCTGGGGAGTGCCTACCTTTTCACTTTTTCTCAGCAACTATCAGTGTGACATTATATTACACTGTAACCTAACAGTGCATCATTTCATATTGTGTTGAGACCTGTCCACATACTGGTCAGCCAGCTATCTTGAATATGAGTGTTGTCTGCAACGGGTTGTCATTTTCTTTAAGCAATAACACCTGTGCTCCTGATATATGTTAGTGTTGGATACTTCTTATCCCTAAAAGAATAACTCCCAGTTGTGTGCTAATTATGGCAATCAAATAGGAGAGTAGAAAACAAAAAGCCAAGCTTGGACTTGCTTAGCATGAATAAGACTTCCAATGCTGTCTCAGTACATAAAGATGCTAAAGGTAACACTGTGGCTCATTAGCATGTTCAGGTTTGAGGTAAAGTATTTGGAGTGACTAATATATCATAATATAAACCAGGGGCACTCTATGCTAAATCTAGAATGTGATGTAAACAGGAATAAATTAATTGTCCAATATAACTCATGGGTCCATGGTGACATATTATCCTTCACCAGTGGTTATGTCCTGACCATAACAAATCACCTGCTAAAACTGAACATAACATATTCCTTATGTGCTACGAACACATTTATCAAAATATATCTCTCCTAGATACCTCTGAAGTAGTATAGTGGTATACAGTACTGAGGGATGCCCACAAGATTCAAAAAAGCATGGGCTAATTATGAAAGGCTAAGCTGTTTCTCAGCAATCTTTTCTTCAAAGCATTCTTCTTCTTACATCAAGCGAGTTGCACATCCCTTCTCCTCCAGCTGGCTCCAGCCACACTTGCTGTTGCCCAAAGCCAGTGCTTCGTGTCTGTAATTCCAGGCTTTATTTCTGATGAGATCTAATTGTGTCTTCTTTGTTCTTCGTGTCTCTTGCTTTGCTCAGTCCTGCCACTCTTTTCACATCTTGTGTGAAAAGACGTAAAAAGTGGCAACATTATCTGGCATAATAGGACATAGAATGCTCAAAAATCTACCTTGAGAGCCATTCTTTATAGCTGAAGTATGCATGCCTGACACAGCAGAGATAAAATGTAACAAAATTATAGTCTTAGGGTATAAAATCAATTCAAACTGTTAGTTTTTCTTTCACTCCTGCATTTACCCACGCACAACACGTCTGAGGGTCTGTTATGTGCCAGAAACCATTCCAGGCACTAAGAATTTATCAGTAGAAAAACAAAAACAAACAAACAAACAAAAAACCCTAGGAGCTTACATTCTAATGGGTTCTGAGATGGGATTTTAATTTAAATTATGATTAAAACAAAGCACAGCAATTTAATGTTACCAATACTTCAATTAAATTTAACTTTTATTTAAGTACAGATTTAGATACAGGGCATTTTTTCTTATCCATCTTCTCCATCTGCCCCTTGATTCAGACGTTCTCCTAAGAGGAGTACTGAATTCTGATTAAATGCTTTACAATTTGTGAGGGTCTTGCAGGTCTCTTCAGTCATTCCTGGTCTAAGTAGGAGAAGGAGCAGTAGCACATCCAGAGCCACAATTTACTCTCTTATGATGCCCTGAAACTTATGTGCCAGAGTTTCACTTAGCGCGTGGTAGAGGAAGGTAGCTGTGCATGGGTATAAATGTGTCAGTGTGCGTAACTATGGTGTTTACACAGCAACTTGGGGAAGGGAACACTATTTACCAGTTCCCTTGTAAACCTAAAGAATTCCTTTCTTAAAAGCCTACTCTTTAAAAAGCGATGGAAAACTGACACAATAGGACTATATTCTTAAGTCCTCACCTAGGTAATCACTGCGAAGTTTTAAATGAGATGTGTGATCCAGAGGAATGATGTAGAGGCAGGAAAAAAAGGCTTAAAAACTGCTTTAAACAATGAGAACAAGCATTCTCCTAATTCTTAAAAATCTCAACAGTCTAAACCAGGGTTTCCCAACCTAGAAACTACGGATATTCTGGGTTGGATGACTGTCAGGGGGTCTGTCACATGCACTAAGAGGATGTTTAGAAGCATCCTGGGCCTTTACCCACTAAGATGCAGTGAGCATAACCAAAAATGTCTCTAGACATTGGCCAATGTCCCCGGAAAACAAAACCCACCCTGGTTGAGAATCACTGATCTAGGACACTGTTTGAGCTAAGGTTCTAGTACTTAATGTTCAAAACTTCTATAAAAGTTAAATTCCTATTTAGACAATTTGGTAAATTTCAGAGAAAGTTGTAAAATAGGAATAATAGAATGGTTGTAGGATTAAATAAGTTACAAGTACTATTCCTTACTCTTACTACTGTTACTGCTACTATTCATGATCATAAAATATGACTAACTGGATTCCATTACTTCAAATGACCAATACTGATAGTCCATGGCAGGTGGCATAGATCTATAAATTTTACAACTATGAGTCAGACCAAAGGCCTTGCAATGTAACCTGTGTGTTTCTCAGTAGAATATATTGATAATGACATGAAGTTACTGAAATAACTTAATGAATACAATTGATAGGAAAAGAGCACCTCTGCCAGGAAATAGCTTAATTTTTTATTCTACTGTCTTCAATTTCTCTCAGTCCACTGGTAGGTATCATTTCTTAAACTAATAATGATCTTAAAAACAAAACAAAACAAAACAAAACAAAACAAAACAAAACAAAACAGCAGAACACCCCAAAACAGTGCCTATGGTCTATAGCAGAGATCGCCAACCTTTCGGATCTCATGGACCTTGGTGACTGCTGGTCTATAGTAATACACATATCATCTACAGTGTTTTGTCTCCTATAAGACAATGCTGATTTTGGTACCGACAGATGATTTATCCTAAACAAATGACATAAACTTATGATATTGTTAAATATAGTATAGTACTATTATATAAATGTATTTTTGTTATGATCAACTTTTCTCTAGTTTACTTTATTGTAACAATACAGTGTATAATCAACAGTAGGCTATCAGCTAAGTTTTTGGGAAGTCAAAAGTTATATGTGGATTTCTGACTAAGTGGTAGCTCAGTGCCTCAATCGAGGCATTGTTCAAGGGTCAACTGTAATCCAAACTCAAAGACTGAAATGATTTGATGTTGAATTATAGTCCATCTGAGAAGAGGTACATTTTTGGTTCACCTTTGTTCTAAGTAAGTAATCCTTTAGGATCCCAACCTAAAGTACAGGAGGATTTGTTAGAGCCTCTTCCAACACTCATTTGGTAGACTTTGGTCATAACTTTTTTCTCCATAGCCTAATAAATCATGAAAAACAAGATGTTCAATACTTTTAGCTGATTCTTTTAGGGTAGTGGTCGGCAAACTCATTAGTTAACAGAGCCAAATATCAACAGTACGACGACTGAAATTTCTTTTGAGAGCCAAATTTTTTAAACGTAAACTTCTAACCCTACTTCTTCAAAAAGACTCACCCAGGCAGTGGTATTTTGTGGAAGAGCCACACTCAAGGGGCCAAAGATTGCCGGAAAAACCCAAGTCTCCCTCCTACTCTCTGTGGTGGCAGCCATATTGTTTGGAGTTAATTTGCATACTTGCTCTTATTGGTCAGTGGGCATGGCTTGTGGGTGTAGCGGAGTGATAGTTAATTTGCATATTACTCTTTTATTAGGTAGGATGGTTATTGCAGCATTGCTTATAGTTACAAAAACTCCCAAAATCAAACTCTAGAAACAGGATAATGGAAGGAAGGTGGAAGATGAGAAGAGAAAACAATCGCTGGAAAATTTATGGTATATACATATTATAAAATATTATGCAACTACAAAAAGTCTGAGTAAAATCGATCTATAAAAACCTAGGGAGATGCCCAAAAGATATTTAGAAAGCAAACTGAAAAACAATGTATATAATTCAATTAGAACGAAATAAACCCTCTTTATACATGTGTACGTTTTTATGTAATTTTTTTTAAATCCCCACTTGAGGATATGTGTTTTTAAAAACTGATTTTAGGGGGTGGAGAGAGAGAAACTTCAATTGACTGATCTGAAAACTGAACCTTTTTGGCGCACAGGATGATGTTCCAACCAACGGAGGTACTCAGGAGGGCTTTATATGATTTCATAATGATAAAGAAAACTGCGGAAGCATATATTTACATTGATTGTCTTGGAGGGAAGGGAGGCTTATCTGAGCTAGGAACTTTACATATGCAATCTCATTTTAGGTTTTTCATTATATGAATTAATCTTATTTTATGGATTAAAAATGAGGCTTAAAAAATTATGCAACAATTCTAAGGTTATAAATTAGCAAGAGGCAGAGTAGAAATTAAAATTTTAAACCTAAAACTGAGAGATTCCAAAACAGTGTTTGTAATCATTAGGTCATGCTTGCTGCCTCAAACTTGAACCTGCCTGGAATATGCTGTTCTTTCTCTATACTTGAACTCCCATCATCCCATGCTCAAATCAAACCTACTTACTTCATAAAAGTTTGTCACTCTCCCATCCAGATAGTGATTTGATTTTGAAATATAAATCATCGATTTTCAACCTGTGTGCCACTAAAATTTTTTAAAACATGCAATAAGTGACTATTTGGTAAACCTTTTATCCCTTAGATTGTCATATAATACAATGACAATGGCCAACACAAAAAATAGCCATACAATGTGAATAAATCAAAATTATACCTATAATTTTGTCAGATTGGCAAACATTATAATGTATTTTTTGGTGTGCCACGGAATTTTAGTAATTGGTTTATGTGTGCCATGAGATGAAAAAGGTTGAAAATCGCTGATCTAAACCATCCATTTAGGTATTAATATTCTGCAATATCATAGAATACCTTATAAGTGATTTTTTTTTTGTTAATGCTGTCTGTTTTTTCCATATAGATTTTGAGTTTCTCTAATATAGAAAATGCAACTTTTCAAAGTACCAACAGACTTACCTACCTTTGACACAGGTACTTAAAAATACTGGTAGAATGACAGAATTTTGCACTTTCACGGCAAGGCATTATGACAATGAGTTGTGATAATTAAGAAAAAAAACCCCAAATGTTAAAGGACAAACATTTCTGACACAAGTACCTTAGTAACAGAGAAAACACAGACGGTACATGGCAGACTTATGACCGCAGAATTGAGGACAATGAACACTAACCAGAAGCTCTTTGGTCTCCCATTTTGTCTTGCCCTAGATTTGACAGGCTGTGAAGATTAAATGGCTGTGAACAATGTAAAGAGAAAAAAATCTAAAAGTTTCTGAGAGATGAAATGATCAGTTTTGAACCATTTATGACTACAGTTATCCTATCATTTTCACTGAGGCTAGAATTAGAACCAACAATTTTTTCAATTTTGAATTTTAATAAATGTGAATGAAAGCATTTGCTGTCTTTCTATAAAATGATACCCCAGGAAAAATTGCTTGCTCATAACTAGAATTTCACATTACTAATTTAAATCATAGTCAATCTTCCTCATATTGGATGCGAACACATGTGTCTATATCACTCTAGTCTCCATATCCCCTCCAGAGGTGAGTATACATTTTACTAAAGATTCTTTTTATACAATTGGATATTATAGTAGTAAGTGCTAAAAATATATTCTCCCCTTTACGTTGCCCCAATAACACTTCTGGGAAGAATGTGTAGTGAGGGGAGAATATACCTCTTGAAGGTTTCTGGTTTTACTCCTTCCTCTCTTCTTACCGTTACTAGACATCGACACATGTTTGCGTAAGCCACAGAGAAGCTGGGTTCATCAATAGCTTTCTCAAAGACCAGGTCAATGACTCCTTTCAGCCGCTCCTCTGTGTCAACAGTAAGTGCTGACACCTGCTTCATCAGTTGGTTGAACATCTGTGGTGTCAATTTATTTAAGATACTTCGAACTTTTCTAAACAGTTCCTAGAAGGATCACACACAGAAAAAGCATTATAATAACTGTGACAATATGATGCTATCTATAATATAAGAATTAATATTGTTTATAAATAAGTAAATTCAACTTCCCAAATTATGGACAAGGATTGTGCAAGCATTGTAAAAATTAAACCTACCTATTTTAATAAACAGTAAAAAAATCGTACATCATTTTCACTACTGATGAGAATTCTAGGAATTAATATGGTATATTCACATTTCACTGGTGGGAGTATCATCTGTTACATTTCTAAGGGCAATTTGTCAATGTGTGCTGAAAGTTTAAAAACTGTGATATGCCCTTTTGAACAAATAATTATACTTTTAGAAATACATTCATCCTTAAAGATAGGTTAAAAAAAAGATTTTAGCCAAAATAATTTACCAATACCCTGTATAGTAAGTAAAAAATGTCCTAAAATAGGGATTTGTCTAAATTATGATATAATATAAATTAATAGTGCATGAATCTGTGCGCCAGTAGCTCTTTGTGGGGCCTGGCCATTCTGCGCCTGCTGATCAGAGGCTCTCCGTGGCCCAGAGGCCCATCCCTGGCTGGGTACGGAATGCTTACCTCGTCGCCATGGCAACAAAGCAAGCATTCCACTAGGCCACTCATGCTGCCCACTTTCAGCGCTTCCCCCCCCAACTGGGAGACTCTGGCGGGGCTGAGAGGACTGGGCACTGGCATATTTATGATGGAGTGATGGTTAATTTGCATATTATCCTTTTATTAGATAGGATAATATAGAATACTAGGGTGGAGATTTTTAAAATAATGATATAGAAACTGTCATCAAAATAAAAATAGAAGGGAACTTCCTTAACTAGAAAAAAAAAAAAAGGCATCTATAACCTTACTTAATGGTGAAAAAAATGAATGCTTTCCCACTAACATTGAGAACAAGACAAAAATGTCCATTCTCATAATCCCTATTCAAAATCATACTGAAAGTCCTAGGTAGTGCAACAAAGAAAAGAAGAGAACTACAACCTACACAAATTGTAAAGGAAGAAGTAAAACTCTCTCTTCAGAATTGGTATGATTGTCTACAAAAAGAGATACTAGTATTAATGAGTCTAGGAAGGTTGTAGAATACAACATAAATATCAATTATACTTCTATATATTAGCAACAAACTAGAAATTACATTTTTAAAAAGCACCATTTATAACAACATCAAATATCATTAAAAATTTAACTAACAATCTAACAAAATATCCATAGAAACTATATGATAAAAACTAGAGATTGCTGATGAAAGAAACCAAAAGGACATAAGTACAGTGGAACCACAGTTTTCAAACTTAATTCATTCTGAAAGCCTGTTTGAGAAGCAATTTGTTAGAAAACTAATCTTTTTCCCCCATTACAAATAATGCAAATTGAATTAATCCATTCCAGATCCCCAAAATATTCCCTTTCTTATAAATAACACACACCTTATATACAGTATGTCTAATGTACTGTTTAAACACTTTTTTTCTTAATTGTACTGAACTATCCCCTACTAGCCTTAAATGCATCACTTTTAGCATTCGGTCCAGAGATGTCTTTCAGGTCAGCATATAGCATCTTTGCTTGTTCATATATCACTGTCTCAGAAATGGCTGTTACTGGCTAATTGCTTTTCTTTTATTCAAATCAACAATAGATTTTCTGCCTCTTCAACTGTCTGTGATCATTTTTTTTTTTCAATCCCTTGGCCAATTCTTAAAGGCCTTTTTATGTTTTAAAATTTGCTAAGTGTCGATTGTTGATATCGCCAACAAAAGCATTCTCTCCTTTGTTGCCTGAGAGATGCTTTTTGTCATGCTGAGGTATCAGCTTGAAAGGATAATCAGTTTGAACACTGAAGTTTGATTTGACAAAAAAGACTTTTTCTGTAAACAACTTAGTCCAGAACTGAACTGTTTGCGATAGGAGACCACGAGAAATGAAGACTCGCTGTAATTGGAGATCTATTCATGTATATTAGATCATGTTCATGTATATAAGAAGACTCACTATAGTTGTCAGTTTTCTCCAAAGTAACTTACAGATTTAATACAATCAGTTTGAAATTCCTAGTAGAGTTGTGCTATGTTGTTGTTTTTGTAGAAATCAAGAAGCTGATGACAATTTATATGGAAAGACAAAAATAAGGAGAATACCCTAAACAATTTGGAAAAATATAAAGTTCAAGGATTCAGACAACCTGATTTCTATACTTAGTACATAAACCTAATATGCAAAAACAGTATAGTATTGGCCAGAGGAAAGACACAAAGATTATTGGAACAGAATGAAAAGTCTAGAAATAGATTCATACACATATAATGAATTGATTTAATTTTCAATAAAGGTGCAAAGGAAATTCAATCAAGAACAAATAGTCTTTTCAACAAATGGTACTGCAAATGGTATAGTGGTAGGAATGAGTTTTCTGAAAGTGAAGGCAATGATAAAACCACTGTTTTAACAAAAAAGACACGGAATAACAATTAGCAGAGCCATCAGTTTAACATGGGGTATACATATGCCAAGAAGAACAACAAAAATTCTACAAAAGAGAGGGAATGAAGCAAAGATGCTCCTTATTTAGAAAACTAGAGGCCCAATGCATGAAATTAGTGCATAGGTAGGGTCTGTAGGCCTGGCCGGTGATCAGTGACTATCTGCGGGGCAATCAGTGGGGTGATGGGGGTTGAGGAGGCCCACTGGCACTCCCATGGCTGTCCTGGGCCTGCAGGACTGCCTTGAGCATCTTCCCCCGGTGGTCAGTATGTGTCTTAGCGACTGTCATTCTGCCATTTAGTTGATTTGCATATTAAGCTTTTATTATATAGGATTTGTCAAAAAAAATAAGGCTCTATTGGTCCTAAAGATAAAGTCTACTTATTCTCTAATGAATTTACTTATTCACTAAAGAAAACTAATTAATGATACCTAATGATAACTATGCTGTTTCTGAAATAAAAATTAATAATGGGGAGAACTTTAACACAGTAAAGGAAGGCAGATTACAAGTCATGACAAATCAACTATTCAGTAATCCCAACACTGGGTAACAACCTCTCAAAACTTCATTTTTCCTCATTTGAAAAAAAGAGACAATATATATTCCCTCCTTCATCAGCTTGAAGAATCAAACAAAGTAAGGCAGTAATATGAGTGCATTAAATACTAAAACAAAACATCTTCAATACTGAAGATCCAGCAGGAATTTTACCTATCTTTTGTAAGTGATGTAGGTTCCATATCATTAAGCATTTCACAAGGGAGGGATGTGTGAGGGAGGGATATAGAAGGTATTAAAAAAAACTGTTGAGAAGAAATGGAGGGGAGGTTAGGTAGTTATGTCAGTGAATCTGAAAAAGGATGCATATATTTAAGCGACAAATGTCTGGGGCAATCACTGGAAAGATGATCAGAGGCAAGCAGCCAAATAGGGATGACTGCATGGCTTTGTGATGAATCAGTTCATCTTAACCCTCACTTTCTCTGAAAAACTTTTTGATTAGTTTATTTTATTAACAAGTATTTACTGAGTACCTACTGTGTATGAGGTTTTCTGTTGGTGTTGAATCAAAATCAAGATTTAAAAGGCACATCTCTGATCCCAGGAACATCAATACACTAAGTACCTAGCTGAGCTTCAGAAACTATGCTAAGTTCTTTTTTTGTTTTTTGTTTTTAATGTTTTTTATTGATTTTATACAGAGAGGAAGGGAGAGGGATAGAGAGCTAGAAACATCAATGAGAGAGAAACATCGACCAGCTGCCTCCTGCACAACCCCTATCGGGGATGTGCCCGCAACCAATGTACATGCCCTTGTCCGGAATCAAACCTGGGACCTTTCAGACTGCAGACCGACGCTCTATCCACTGAGCCAAACCAGTTTCAGCTATGCTAAGTTCTTTATATTACTTCATTTAATCTTCACAATGGCCCTATAAGGTAGGTAATGTTGTTATCTCCATTTCACAGTTGAAATTAAGACTAGCCTAACAGAACTTGCTTCTGTCTCCAAAGATGGGACTTTTGACTGCTATACTAGACTGTTGGTGATGAGAGGAAAGGTATATAAGGAATCAAGAGACCAAAGAGTCACTATTGGATGCCTGGATCTGGTACAAATGTAAAGTTCAAAACTCTAGTTTTGGTACCGAGATAGTAGAGGGAGTCCAGGGACAGGAACTTGCCCTGTGCATACAGCAGGAGATGGACCAGGCTTTATGTTATTTGGCATATAAACAAATTTGAGTGGATTACAGGAATTCTTCAATTTACTCTAAGGAGTTCTCATGACAACATATGCACAGAAAAATACAAATAATTCAATTTTATTCCAAAAGACTTTAAAACAAGATGGGTTTCTTAATATTAACTTATTAGAAATGAACGTGTGAAAAGAAGATTAAAAAAATTTATTAAACAAGATAGACTAGTACAGAGTAAACACCAAGAATCTAAAAACACATTTTCAATAAAAGCAAATATTGATCTAGGCCTGAATGATAGAATTATATGATTGATGAACCCTTGAGATACAGTGTCTGTTTTGAAAAGCACACACAAAGCAATTACAAGAGAAAACGGTTGTAGCCAAAAGGCTTTTAGAATAATGCTTATCTTACAATAAAAAAAAAATTTATAGAAAGATCTTTAACCAAGATCTCTAAATATGTTAATAGGGCAAGATGACAAGCTAAAACAATATTATTCTAATTCCAAAGCAACGGTGGCATGTGCTTCTGTCTCACCTGGGTTTTAATGTTCTCGGGATCCTCGGCTTGGCTGTCTCGCTTTTGACTGGGCTTCCAGGCGTTCTCGGCCTTTTTCAGGTGCACGTCTTCCTTCACAGGGACCGTGATGATCTTCCTGGGCTCTCTTCTCTGGCCAGGCTGAGATCTCCGTGGTCCAACATTTAATAACTAGGACAAGAACAGTCTTTATTATATCGACACAGAGTACTTACAATGTACTGCCTCTGCTGTGCTGCTCAAGTCAAGCCTGCTGCTCAAACCGAACCCTTCTAGATGGAAAGGTGAGTATTAGGCACTCAATTTAGATGTGGTCTTTTTCTTGGGGGGAGAGGGGTCAGGGAGAGGAGGGCTTACAACAGCATCAATGTGATGTTCTCCACCACTACTATTCTAGATCCTGAAGTCCTAAATGAAATAAAGTGAAGTAAAATTATATTTGATAAAGCTGTTGTTCCTCACAACAGCTTACCCTTAAGCTGGAAGATTACCTAAAAGATTACCCTTAACGGAAGCTCTATTTTTTATTAGTTGTGACTTGGAACTGGTCACTTTGAATAACTATAAAAATTCACATGTAGATATAATCAGTTACAAATCTGCTTCAAAAACTGGGTGTGAAATGCAAATACAACCTTATCATGAAATTCTCTATAGCAAAGACTCCCAACTTCACTGCATATGTTAATGGATCCCCTCTAAATTTGCTGGGCCAGAATTATTGAAGTAATTATTTCTTTTTTAAAAAAAATTTTAAAATATATTTTATTGATTTTGTACAGAGAGGAAGGGAGAGAGATACAGAGTTAGAAACATCGATGAGAGAGAGAGTCATCGATCAGCTGCCTCTTGCACACCCCCTACTGGGAATATGCCTGCAACCAAGGTACATGCCCTTGACCGGAATCGAACCCGGGACCCTTCAGTCCCTAAGCCGATGCTCTATCCATTGAGCCAAACTTGTTTCGGCTAAAGTAATTATTTCTTATATCATTAATAAAATCAAACTAAAATTGCTCCCTAAAAAAAATGTTTCCCTTTCTTTGTTCCTGCTAGAGTCTCACTATAGTCATTAAGTTAAAACCAACATATACTGACATATGTAATACTTTTAACAATATAGATTATATATGTCATACTGGTCATTAAGAATTGTTACTGCAAGATAATGAAGTAGGTTAAAAGTTGCATTCTGTGTATTAAAATATTTACAAGAGTTGCTACATCAAATGCTTGGAAATAATTTTGCAACATTAAATATTTGGGTTGATAGTAAGCTATGCTCCTACCAGATCTATTGTACATATGCTACCAGATCTTTACATTTTCTAATATAGCATTCTCTAAATGTTGAGTAAATATTGCCATTAGATTTCAAGAGGGAAGAAAGACAGCTTCACATAGCACATGTAGATAAGAATCATATCTCACTTAATACTCAATACTGCCTTTTTGAATTCATATAAAGCTTCAAGAAAGGAAGTAGAAACTTAAATGTCATGCTTTCTATAAAAAGACAGTTTCTAAGAGAGGCATGGTTTGAGGCCTAAACTGAGAAGCTTAAAATCCTTTACACATTCACTCATTCTCAGAATTACTCTTATATTTCACCATTTGCCCTAATTAGAAATGGCAGTATCAAGAATGTATCAGATCCTGCTGGCATGACTGAGTCGATGAGCATTGATCTGGGAACCAGGAGGTCAAGGTTTGATTCCTAGTCAGGGCACATGTCCGGGTTGTAGGTTCAATCCCCAGTGAGGAGTGTGCAGGAGGCAACTGAACAATGATTCTCTCTCATCAATGATGTTTCTATCTCTTGCTCCCTCTCCCTTCCCTCTGGGGGGGTAAAAAAAGTATCAGGATGAAAAGTTAGAATTTCTAGGCAATATATGCCAATTTGTCAAATATATCCAGCCAACAACTTAGTACTAATGATATGATCTCAAACTATTTGGTAAACATAAAAAAAAAAAAAAAAAAAAAAAGGTCAGATAAATCCAGAGGTAACTGGCATGGTATACTAAAGATAACTAAAGAAGATCTTCAGATTAAAAAATTGACAGGAAATGGCTGCTAAACCAGATAGTACTACTCTAACAATTATTTATTATGGGAACTTTGATATGATAGTCCAGACAAAACAGTTCTATTAAGAAAATGCAAGTAAACCACATACTGTATGGTTTTTATAATTTAGGTTATATTCTAGTGTTAATTCACTAGGGTTAATCTCTTTTTCAATGCTTGGATAAAATTCAAATTTACTATCACATCACAAGTCATTTAATTTAATCCATGCATTTACTCATAAAAATTTGTCAAGGACAAGGTCTGCTGGGTGAAATGAAATGTTATTATATAAAAATCATGAAAGAGCATGGTTTAGAGATATAATTTTAATCATGTTTAGATAAAGACAGAAACTGTTCATTTCTAAAAAAAATACTGTAAGCATTAATAAATATGCCTTGGGATTTGAATCTAGAAAGTAAGTTATGCCACATCTCTTTACTTAACACAGATGTGAATTTCAAAGGAACCGCATAGAGGTATTAGCTATATTACTAAATAAGTAACAAAAATGTTTCAAAGAAAAAAAATGTTTTGAAAAGATAATAGTTATAAGTTGTTAGTCCAGGATAAAAAAAAAAGTTAAAATTAAAACCCATGACAAGTGCCCAAGAAAAATGTTAAAATTGTATTTCTATCTCTGGATATAATTAATATACTGTTCACAAATATTTATCCAACTGTATTAAGTTCTTAAACAAATTTATTATACTTATAAATGCTTCACATGCTTAATTAATTACTCTCTAATTTCCTCCTGTCTACACGCTGGGAATGAATTCACTGTCCGGAACATCAGTGCCTGGCAGGACTCTGGTGCAGTGGAGAAAAGCGGCAGATTAGAGACCAAAAACAACTGTGGACTCGAGTCTAATTTTGTCACTTATGAGTTAAGTTACTGTGAGCAAGTCTCTAAACTGTGTTGAACTTAAGCTTTCAATATATTAAATGCTTGTCCTACCTACAAAAGTTATGATCATCATGGAATGTAAAAGCAGCTTAAAAACTAGGTATCATCATCAATATCAAAGAACAAAAAGAACTTTAAAAAAATGTAAATTGGTGTAATTACCTTTAAACATTTCATGTCCTGCCAGATCAGTGTGGCTCAGTAGCTGAGCAGGGACCTAACTTATAAACAAGATCAAGGTTTGATTCCTGGTCAGGCACAAGCCCAGGTTGTGGGCTCAATCCCCAGTAGAGGGTGTATAGGAGGCAGCCAATCAATGATTCTCTTTCATCACTGATGTTTTTATCTCTCTCTCTCTTTCCCTTCCTCTCTGAAATCAATAAAAAAATAAATTTTATGTCCTTTTGGTGTGACAATTTAATACAAATTGTCAAATGTTCAGTATCCTTCAGAAGTTGCACTATATATAATGAATACCTACTTATAAAAGGCAAACAAAATCTAGGATCCATTGCTAAGAATTTTGAAGTGTACAGAGAGAAATAAAGCCTGGTCTTCTTGATTGAAAGACAATCATGATTAATAGCTAGAAAAGGAACTTTAAGGTGTAATGTACTCAGTGTCCATAAATGTTACAACTAAAAGGAAGAGCCAAAATTTGGGGTTGATTAACTAGTAAGCCACATTTTTTTTTCAGGTGAGTGGAAAGTTTAAATTTTTACCCACTCTGATATATATTTTAAAAATATATTAAATAAGAAATTACATCCATTTCAAATTTAATATATTGCTTTTATATCATTCACAGACCATAATCTGAAATATCTCTGCTTGCCTGGATAACCCAAGATAATAAGACCAATATTCATCCTAGCAATTTTTAAAGAGAGACAATCAAATGTTCTTTTAAGAAGAGAGGAAAGCATGATCCAAGCTCAGGAAAACCTTGTTCTTAAAATTTTTATAATAACTCAGCTAATCTCAAAGTTAGTTGAAATGAATATGATGACAAATTTCTAGTCTAGATCTATAGACCCTTGCTTAATACATTTCTTTTGAGATACTATGTGATACCTGCCAACAGATTACTATTAAAATACCACAGCCGCCAAGTAATTTGATTTTTAAAAGCACCTGGGTGCTTTCAATTGATATGCAATTTACTGTCCAACAAAAGGGCTCAATGGTTGAACTTCAACCCATGAACCAAGAGGTCACTGGTTCAATTCCCAGTCAGACACATGCCCAGGTTGTGGGCTCAATCCCTGGTGGGGGGCATGCAGGAGGCAGCTAATCCATGATGTATGTATGTCTCTCTCTCTCTCTCTCTCTCTCTCTCGAAATCAATAAAAACATTTTTTTTAAAAACAATTGTGTTGGAAAATTGTATGTAACTGCACCTGACATATTAAAACAACTGCTATGCAATAAAAATATTTAGGAACAAGACTGTTGCAGAAAAGTTTATACTAAGAGTTATAGATATTTAAACCATACTATGAAGCATACATAGCAGATATTAAGATTTTGGGATAGTAATAATTTATAATTCAATTTGGAAGCTGGCAAAATAACTAGAGGTATGGAACCATAAACTATGAAGAATAAGGCTGTTGTTTTTCCAAATAGCATTATTGATTGTTCCTTTATATATTAGATATAATAGCCTATGAAATTCCCATCTGTAACTAAGCCAGTATTATCAAAGGAAGCTGGAAAAATTAAATGGAGAATATTTGTTAGCTATGGGAGATGTGGAAGAAAAATTACCTGCCTTAAAGCAAACAGATTTCTTTTGAGATACTCTGTGATGTCTGCCAACAGGTTTCTATTAAAATACCACAACTGCCAAGTAATTTGACTTTTAAAAGGATCTTTTTAAAAATATATATATTTTATTAATTTTTACACAGAGAGGAATTGAGAGGGATAGAGAGTTAGAAATGTCGATGAGAGAGATACATCGACCAGCTGCTTCTTGCACACACCCCCACTGGGGATATGCCCGCAACCAAGGTACATGCCCTTGACCGGAATCGAACCCAGGACCTTTCAGTCCGCAGGCGTCGGCCCTATCCCAAACCAGTTTCGGCTTAAAAGGATCTTGGCGCCTATCTGGCATGGCTCAGTAGTTGAGCATCACAGTTAATTCCTGGTAAGGGCACATGTCCACCTTGTGGCTTCGATCCCCAGTGTGGGGTGTGCAGGAGGCAGTAGATCACTGATTCCATCTCATCACTGATGTTTCTATTTCTCTTCCTCTCCCTTCCTCTCTGAAATCAATAATTTAAAAAAGCAACAGATTGCAATTTTACTTTAAAATTAGCTTGTGCTGGATGACAGAGCTATTTAAAGAAGTGAATTAAACAACTGAAGCTGACCTTTTTGAAGACACTATAAATTCTTGATGATGGCTCATTTCCAGTCATATTACTATGTATGCACCGAATAACTCATTTACCTGATATATGTAGGCATATAGATTAATGAGCAAACATACATTGTGATGATTACTTTTAAAATTCATTTTCTAATTTCAATATGTTATTATAAAAGAGATATAGCTTATTCTCAATATTTCCTTTTTGTTATACCTAATTAATTAGCAGACAGTAGCAACTTGATAATGAAAAGTGACAGTGTACACTAGAAGAGATATGGCAATACCTTTTGCAAGTAACATATGAACAAAATTGAGCAATATGACAACTACAGATGCTGTTAACCAGAGATTAATAAAAATGACATCAACATTATTTCAAATGTCTGAAAAGCAGAGATATAAATCAAAACAAAAACAAACACTGACAGAAACACAAATTTAAAACACCAAAAAGGAAAATAATGCTGAAAAATAAAGTATAATCTTGTTTCTAGAAAAGAAAGCTGCTTTCTAAGACTTTCTGATGAGGCAATTAAAATTCTATAAAAATTTTATCTTAGCATTTAAGAGAATATACAGGTTAAATTTCAAACCTGTGTGAGGACAGAGTATTATACACACAGAGGTTTTTACATATAAATAATATGCTTTAAATTAAGGAGATTTTCTGTTTTTACAAAGCCTCCATCACAGTGTATGCACTTAAATATTTTCAACAGGCTGCTGGCAAACAAATAATCCAAATGCCTACAAAGTGACATTTGTTTTCAGACGGTGTAGTCTTATTTCCAAGCAGGTTTCAAAAGTTGCCATTACAGAAATAAAAAAGTGATGGGGAAATAAAAAGTGTCACTTTACATAAAAATATTTTTACAAACATAAAATAGTCTTAAAACAGGGTGATCTGCAAAGGTACCACCAGTCGCTAAGCATCTCCAGGACGTAAAGTGCTCTCAAGCCATTCCAACTTGGGAAAAAGAGGCATTCACATCATTGGCAACTTTCCCCCATGCTTTCTGCAAGTCTACAAAGCATGGAGCAGGCTGAGCCTGCCAACCCTGCACAGGGCAGTGCCCCAGCATAACTCCATTGGTGATGCCACTTCCACCGCTGAAGAGCCTGCCACTAGGGGGTGTAAAGACAATCTGCAGTTGACTAACACTGCGCTCTTTTGTGTGTGTCATTGGTTCGTATTTTCACTTCAAGAGCTATAGTAAGTGAGAAATCAAAACATAAAATATTATAACATCATAAGCTATTGTTAAAAAAAAAAAACCAAAACAAAAACAAGGATTCAGCGCACCCCTAGAGGCAGGCTCTTCAAGGGTGGGTGCGACATCGCCAGTGGAGTGCAAGTTGGGGCTTTGCTCTGTTCCAGAATTGGCAATCCATGCCTGCTCTGCACTTTGCAAATCTGTAGAAACAAGGACAAAGAATGACCATTAGCTGAAAGTCATCAGAGATCTCTACTACATCAGGACACCTCAGAACAAAATAGGAATCATACTCAAGGTTGGCTGTATTTTTTAACCAATTTGCAGGTCATTTCAACTTGGGGGTGAAATATATATACAAATACATAACAAATTAATGTAGACCAGCTCCTTTCAAGTAAAAACAACTCAAGTGTATTCTTTATTTACTTTAATATTAGTTTGGAAAGAATAGTCTTCACCTCTTCTACTCTTCTTCCTGTTTAAAGGAACCAATGGATAAAAGCCGCTCTCTCGGCTTTAGACAAGATGCCATGAAGTCTTTGACAGTTTCTAACTGGGTTGTAGGGAACTTGCACTTACAGATACACCTCTTCCACCAGGGCTCTGCCTTCCAAAATCTGCGAAGGCTGGAGTGAAGTCTGGTCCTCGAGGCAAAACCCGAGGATCTATAGTTCGCAATTTGGGCTGGTTGATCTGTATGAAGAAGCAAAGGAAAGATTAACACAAGTTCAAAAGCATCTGCTACCACCAGATAAAAGCTTAAGACTGAAGAGTTATGTCAGCTGGAATGGTGACCACCGGCATCCTTAACCAGGGAAAGGCCAGTCTAAACCTGGACAGCTTCTCTGGGCTAGCCCTAAAGCCCTCAGTCAACAGTGGTTTTCTGATGCCCTGGACTGAACAGGCCTAATTTCCAAACGAGGCTAGACATAACCATTTAACTAGTCAAGACCAGTAGAATGACACAAGACAAACTATTTTGAGATCCTATAACGAGGGTCAAATTTTAGGGTTTTCCCCCAGCATACTCAGGACGTCACACAAATCTACCTATGAGAATACTGCTATTGATCTTTTTTATTTTGGTTTTGATGTTGCTGACTTATGACTAGAACAGCATGTATTCTGAGTGGATAATAAGTGTCAAAAACAGATTGTTTCACATATGATAACATTTAAAATCTCACTCTGTCATGCCAATCTAAGTTACCTGGTTTTGTGTAGGCATAGAATACGAAGGATAGCATAGAAGCTAAGTAGCTCAGCGAGAAATCAACAAAAGATGAGCCAAGGTCAGAAACAGTTAAGGTAGGAAGACAAGAAGGAATATTTTCTAATAGAATAATTTAATTCAGTGGATATAACAATTACCCTCTGAAGTAGCCTTAAATTAGCACTGCCAATCAATCACGCAACTGTCCTCACATAAGTACCAAAGAGAAAAGACTTAGATAGCAACAGAAATAAGAAGACCTGTTACTAACGGAGTAAAATAACACAAATAAGGTCTGGATAAGCAGCTACTAGAAACCTCTCTGTCTTTTTTAATCTTCACCTGAGGAGTGAAGATATTTTTTCCACTGGCTTTTCAGAAAATAGAAGAGAAGGTGGAGGAAAAGGAGAGAGAGGGAGGGGTGGGTGAGGGTAGAAAAGAGAGGGAGGAAAAGGAGAGAGAGGGAGGGGTGGGCGAGGGTAGAAAAAAGGGGGAGAAAAGGGGAGAGCGAGAGAGACAGACAGACAGGCTCTGACTGGTTGCCTCCAGCACCCCAGGTATGTGCCGCCCTTGACTGGGAATCCAATCGCAACCTTCCCTTGTGCAGGCCGATGCTCTAACCACCACTGAGCAATGTGGGTTAGAAATCTTAGTAAGAGGAGGATCTCAATCTATAAGATATTTACCCTCTACTTTGATTAGGGATTAATAGTTCCTCTTCAAAGCAAAAATATTTCAAGCTTCATTACCAACACTGACTTATCACTGATTTACAGGAATACTTGGGCAGATAAACATCTAACTTCACTCTTTTAAATTTAATAAACATACAAAATAAACACTGACTGTACTAATTTCCTGTATGCACCACTAAGGTCAGATGTGAAGATAAAGGATGCCTATTTATATGCAGAGGATTAGACTAATTATTATAAGAATCTATTGGGGGAATTTTGAGATATACATTACTTGAATTATGTTGACTCCTACTTAAGTTTGATCTACCTTCCTTACTTTTGACCTGCCCTCAATGCCATTCTAATTCCATACTGAAACTGCAGGACAGTGGGGAGAGTCTGGTATCACTTTCACTTTAGCTATATTAGCCCAACCGACAATTTTCACTACATCACTAAAAAAATAGCTATAATAAGCAGACAATTACAATTTTTTAAAGCTTTATCACTCAAATATGGGTCAAACCCCATTATTATCATTATTATTATAGTGTAAGAAATCTGACAATTCAATAATATTTAGGAAAAATTTAATTCTTAAACATTCATTATACATTTTAATTGAAATACCATTTAGTCTTACAATTCCTAAAAATCACTCATACTTCACATATTTGCACTAATAATAAAAACCCATTCCTGTCCTGGCTGGTGTCGGTCAGCTGGTTGGCCGTTGACCTGTGTACAGAAAGTTTGCTGGTTCAAGTCCTGCGTAAGGACATATGCCTGTGTTTCCCACTGTGGGAGGCAGCCGACTGATGTTCCCCTCTCACACCCGTATTTCTCTCTCCCTCTCCCTTCCTTTCTCTCTCTAAAAAAATCAGTAAAATATAAAATACACACAAACAAAAAGAGTTCCCACCAAAAATATATCGCTATCTGAGTACTCAGCTTACCTTGTCAAGAACTACATCAGAGATGGGAGGCAGGCCCTCCGGTTTCTGTATACAGGCTGGCATGAACTGGAAGTCCAACAAAAACTCCCTGTCATACTGCTTCTTGCCTTCAGTATCAGCAGGCTTCCAGGATTCTGGAAAAATAGGCAGAACAAACTGTCTATGAGGTCATTATATGTATATCCAGTAAAAGCACAAATCCGATTCCAACATTTACTTTATCCCATCATAAACAAATCAAAGGAAATATTGAGCAGTCAGAAAATGCCATGTAAAGATTTTAAACTGTTATTTGTTCTTTTATTCCTTCTGGGTTCCCCTGGATAGCAAAGTAAGTTGAAGTAAGTTGGTATAGGAATCATTCACAAACACATTAAGCAGCCTTTGGCCAGGGCCATTTAATCATCCTCATATTATTACCATGTCTATAAACAACTCAGAAATAAGGAACTTAATAGTATTCTTGGTTTCTGGGAAAAGAATACTTTAGTTATTCACTTGGATATGTTATTCTGGGAAAAAAATGTAAAAAGACACAAAAACAGAGTAACAAATAACTTATTTAAGATTCTGATCCTTGCCGAAACCGGTTTGGCTCAGTGGTAGAGCGTCGGTCTGCAGACCGAAGGGTCCCGGGTTCGATTCCGGTCAAGGGCATGTACAGTGGTTGCGGGCACATCCCCGGTAGGGGGTGTGCAGGAGACAGCTGGTCGATGTTTCTCTCTCATCGATGTTTCTAACTCTCTCTCCCTCTTCCTTCCTCTGTAAAAAATCAATAGAATATATTAAAAGAAAAAAAAAAAAAGAATCTGATCCTAGTTGGTTTGGCTCAGTGGGGCACATGCTCGGGTTGCGCGCTCAATCCCTCCCCTACCACTCCTACCCTGTAGGGGACGTGCAGGTGGGAGCCAATCAATGATTCTCATCTATGATGTTCCTATCTCTCTATCTCTTTCCCTTCCTTTTTGAAATCAATAAAATATATATATATTAAAAAATAGATTCTGAAATGCTTAAGGTGCTAGATAAAGAATTTTTATTCCTGACTACAGCTGAATCTGAAAAAAATAATGTACTTGCTGGCTGAGTCAATAAACTGGAGAAACACATACCTTTCTCTAAAAATCATGATATTAAACACTTCTCAGCTAATATGTATTTTAAAGTATATTTTATTGAATTTTTACAGAAAGGAAGGAAGAGGGACAAAAAGTCAGAAACATCGATGAGAGAGAAACATCGATGAGAGAGAAACATCGATCAGCTGCCTCCTGCATACCTCTTACTGGGGATGTGCCCGTAAACAAGGTACATGGCCTTGACTGGAAATGAATCTGGAACCCTTCAGTCCGCAGGCCGACACTCTATCCACTGAGCCAAACAGGTTAGGGCTCAGCTAATACTTTTAATATTAACACTGCTTTTCTACTATTACTATCGTTAAAGCTATCCTTACTTACAACCTTACTCTCATTATATAAAGTTAATTTTTAAAAAAATTTTATTAAATAAAAAACAAGTAGTAATTTTTCTTCTTTTGTTTTAATATTTTTAAATTGACTTTTAGAGAGTATCGATCAGTGACTTTCAAACATTTTTGACTACAACTCACAGCAAGAAATATAATGACTTCATGACTCAGAACAAACATAAATAAGTTTCTGAAACAATATTACCCTTACTACATGTAATGTACTGACATTCCCCCCTTGCCCTTTAATCTTCACCCATGGATATGTTTTTCCAACTTTAGAGGAAGGAGGAAGAGAGAGAGATTGATAAGCTGCCTCCTATACTGCCCCAACTAATGATTGAACCCTCAACCTAGGGATACGCCTGACTGGTATTAAAACCCTTAACCGTTTGGTATGTGGGACGACACTTCAACAAACTGAGCCCCCTGACCAGGGCCACAGTGACATTTTCTGCTCAATTTTCCTTTTTAAAAATTGTTGGTTTTAACTAATAACTTAACTTCACAACCTATTAAATGGGTTTAAACTATCAGTTTGAAATACACTGGTGTAGATTATTTTTGAAGTCTGATATCTTACATTCAAACCCTATATCAATGCAGAAGTCACTCCAGATTTGGCATACTAAGAAAAAACTTACCCCAAATTTTCTATCAAACGAACCACGATTCACCACCACACCAAATATCTCCACAACCTCAAAGTCAATCATGGTTACATAGTATTGGGACAGAAGTTTAATATATTTGATGATGTCTAAAGCTGCAAGATTTTCTCAGGTTTATCATATATTTCACAGGGCACTTCCCAGCCTGCAGTTGCTCAGGTATGCAATCAGACTGCTCCTGACTCATTACTGGAACTCATTACTGGGGTTCAAGCCTTGTGAAATGATGAGTACACTCTCAAGGGATATGGTCATATCTGAAATATCCCTTTCACAATAAAATTAAATGTGCTTTGTTGAAGTCAACCAGCCTACCGCTGACTGATTCTCTTTGCCAGCTGCACTCCCTCCCTTCTCCCCTCCATAAAAGCAGAACACTGGCATCAGATATCACTTCCATCAACAGAGAACTCTCTGGATTTGCTAATTACTAACTTGTGCCTGCTGACCTGTTCTTTAAATACTACACTACGATAATCTTCTTCCTTCCATCCACTATTTCACTAGAAAGAGGCAACATTTCTCTAATATTGCAGTAGAATAAAGGGAAAAAGGAAAGATGTACACAGGAAGACAGGATACACTTACCTGGTTTAAAAGGGAACGTGCCCCCGTCACCAGAACTATCAGTGGAGCCTGAATTAGCATCTATTCCTTCCCCCTCAGAAACGCTCTCAGCACCATTACGGATAGGCTCCGCTTCTTCTCCATTTTCTTCCACAGCTTTCACTTTTTTTAGGTCTGAGGAATCTCTCTCAGGATGAAACCCTTGGCTCATTTTCTCCTGCTCAGCTTCAAGTACTTTGTCACCTGAAAGTTCCTCTTCAACTGGAAGCTAAAGCATAAGTGAACACAGAGGTTATGCTTTTTTCACTGTGTGCAAATACACCTAAACCTCTTCAAAAGTATAGGAAAACATGTCACTCAAGATAAGGATGTCTGTGTGCAGCATATGGTACTAGAAAGGTAAGTTTACTTAAAGACATTTTTCTCATTTCATCTCCTGGGATAGTGCAGATAATTCAAATGGCCTCTGAGATGCTTTAACATGACTAATGAAATCTAAATGTACCAGAGATTAGAATGGAAAGAACTGTTAATCCTTGGCACGTGAAGGACATGAAACAGTCCAAGTCAGAAATCTAAATCAAACATGCCTACCCTTACCACTACAGCTCAGCAAATACATTGCAGGGTATTTTTTTGTGCTGTCCTCTGGTGGCAAAATAAAGTCCAATGAATAGTTTAAAGTAACTAAGTCCCACAACACTAATCATCTCTCATTTTACAAGGATACCATTTGTTAGGTAAAATCTATTCATTTTATTTATTTTATTTTTATTTTTAAATATAATTTATTGTTTTTACAGAGAGGAAGAGAGAGAGATAGAGAGTTAGAAACATCGATGAGAGAGAATCACCGATCAGTTGCTTCTTGCACACTCCCCACTGGGGATGTACCCGCAACCAAGGTACATGCCCTTGAACAGAATCGAACCCGCGACCATTCAGTCTGCAAGCCGACGCTGTATCCATTGAGCCAAACCGGTTTCAGCTATTTTGTTTATTGATTCTTAGAATACTCTGAGACTGTGACCTTATTCAAATCACGTCTGGAAACATGCTTGAAATGTATCCCCTAGGAAGAAATCTGGGTCCTGGTGCATCCTGACTATTTTTATAAAGCAAAATAGGATTGAGTTACTCACCATAGTAGTTTTCACTATTTCATTTTAAGTTATCAAAAAATGGATTTCTCAAGGGCCATAAGAACTATCAAAACTCCTGAGGCAAAGTGCTCCATGAACTTTGTCTCTTTCTTTTCATGAAGGGTAAGCACTCTGAAAATGAGCCTTTGAAAAAGTGCTCAGAGGAAATAGGCATTCCAAGTGATAAATTTGCACAAGGAGAGCAAAAAAATAGCATTCTGTTAACTGCTTCAACAGAAAGTTGTGTAAAAGAATGTCATATACACCAGAAAGTGGTTGCCCCAATTGATTTATAAAATTACATTTATTAAAAAATCAAAGAGTTACAAATCCTACTTTTTTTTTTTTTTTACAGTAATTATAGCAGGTATTATTAGTAAAATTTCTCCTACCAAATATCAGATAATGGAGAAAATATACTAAATTTAAAAATGTGATAAGCAGACGGATAGTTTTTAGGTCTTGTTTCTACAATGGAATAGTTAAGTTCACACACACACACACACACACACACACACACACACACACACTTTCTCACTACACGAACAGGGGGGAGACAGTATAGTAGCCTTCAAAAGAAAGACAAACATAAAAATTCCAAAGAAATAAAGGCTGAAATGATTTATTTTTATAAAACATGGCAGAAAATAGGTAATCTTTTCAACTTTGAGACAAACAAGATCTATCAAGTTTGAATCATGAGTTAGCAGTCTCACTCTTTCTTATTGTATATTCTACTAGAGTCTAAATGATGTCATAATGAGCTGCAAACCTCAAGTAGAGGTCTTCAAGAATATCTTCAATAATGTGGCATATAAATGGTACTAAAACTTATTAAACAACAGCATACTACTTAAACAGCAGTGTACTGTGAAAGAATTCTGTTTTAAAGAACAACATTTTGTGTAGAGGTTTGGTATAGGTTGTAATGGTTGAAAAAAATTCTGAAGAGTATTTTATAACATGTGAATATTATATGAAATTCAAATTTCAATGTCCATTATTAACATCCTAAAATTAATAAACTATGAATAATCTATTATATATTAAAGGAGAATGTATTACTTGGAAAATTAACTTCTCAGTGGAAAAAGCAGTATAAGTTATTGCATAAATAACTAATCATAATTTAGAGAACACAGAATCTCTAAGTTATCTGAGGCACATTGTTAAAAGATATATTTTCCACTGAAACCGGTTTGGCTCAATGGATAGAGCGTTGGCTTGGGGACTGAAGGGTCCAGGGTTCGATTCCGGTCAAGGGTATGTAACCTTGGTTGCGGGCAAATCCCAAGTAGGGGGTGTGCAAGAGGCAGCTGATCGATGACTCTCTCATCGATGTTTCTAACTCTTTCTTTCCCTTCCTCTCTGTACAAAATCAATAAAATATATTTAAAAAAAAAAAAAGGTATATTTTCCACCCTAGATGGTTTGGCTCAGTGGACAGAGCGTTGGCCTACAGACTGAAAGATTTTGGGTTTAATTCCAGTAAAGGGCACATACCTGGGTTGTGGACTCGATCCCCAGTTACAGGGCATGCCGGAGGCAGCCAATCAATGAGTCTCTCTCATCACTGATGCTTCTATCTGCCTCTCTCCCTCTCATTTCCTCTCTGAAATCAATAAAAATACGTTAAAAAAGGTATATTTTTCAAGGAAACCCACAAAAACAATGCATTAAGTATTTGTAATGGTTCTTTTTCTTTTAGCAGGAAGAAGCACTATCCAACTTATTTGTAAATGTCTAAGAGTTCTGAAATTATTTACTCAGAAAATCAGATTGAAAAAAGAAAGCAACTTATTGGTTGGACGGTCAGAAGTGAACTTTTTATAAGAACTTGTTTAAAGAATTTAGTTGAAAAAACTGCCTGCTTAATGCATGAGTTTTTTTTAATGCTAAAGAATCAGATTGACAACAATGTACGTAACAAATGATGAAATATCCTAAAATTTTAAATTTTAAGATGCCTTGACTAAAATTTTTAAGAGGAATCATCTTTCATGCTATAATTTAAATAATTTAATAAAATATTTATGATGAACAATCCAGTTTATAATCTAAAATAGGCCAATACCTGAAAAGGCTAAAACCTTCCTCAGGAGAGCTTGATGACCAGTGAAAATGAAGACAATGACAGCCGTGTGTACTAAAGTACTCTAATAAATGCTCCATTTTATGAAAGGGACTGGGATTTCTGAAAAAAGCCTTTTTATTATACTTGTAAACTATAAGGTTAAGAAAGAAGTGATTGGTTTAAAATGAGTCAAAATAGTTCTCATGTATGAAGAATAATAATCTAAACCAGGTTTTAGCAAATTATATGGCTCATGGGCCACATCTGGCTCATCACCTGTTTTTCTATAGTGTCACGGGTAAGGGTGATTTTGACATTTATAATGGTTTAAGAAAATCTGAATAATATTTTATGACACATGAATATTATATGAAATTTCAGTGTTCATTAATAAAGTTTTGCTAAAATACAGCCACGCTGATTTATTTACACGTGTCTATGGCTGCTTCTGGGTTACAGCAGAAGTGAGGAAGTGTGCCAGGGATCATGCAGTCCACAAAGCCTGAACTATTTCCTATGTGACCCATTCCCTAAAGAAGGTGAATATGTGAAGGCATAGAATGGTGGCCTAATCATTTAATATTCAGTAATACTTAGAAATCTAGCCATAAGCCAAAGAAACATGAAGCATAATAAGAGAAAGTTAAAAAAACACACACAAAAAAACACCACACAAAACAAACAGAAAAAGCCCACAGCTGAATCTAACGAGGAATCAGTTTGAAGGAAATATGAATGATTGTCCGGCCTCTGGAAGGTATTTTATTCTCCATAAAAGTAACATTTTCTTGTTCAGCCACAAGAAGTGCAACAATTATTTGCATCACTATAAGTTACTGCCAATTCTTATCCCAGTAACCACAATAAAATCACATCTATGAAACATTTTTGTGGTTGCTATGGGACTAACTGTGACATCAATAGAGCATCATGTAAGAGCAATGACAGACAGGGAGAATTAACAAAAAGATACTGTGTGAGCTGCTTGAAGTGGGTAAGAATTATAACTAGACAGAAAAACCTTATAAAACAAATGTATTTAAAGTGGTTTTAAAATAATTTCTATACATAATATTATCATGTTAAAATTCAACAAAATTTTAATAGAAGCGTTCAAAAAGAAAAAAAAAGAGATAGTTTATATTACCCTTCCTTTATTTTTTATTTATTATTATTATTGTTAATCCTCACCCAAGGATAATTTTCCACTGATTTTTAGAGAGTGGAAGAGAAGAGACAGAGAGATAGAAATATCGATGTGAGAGATACATGTCAATTGGTTGCCCCGAAAGTGCCCTGTTGTGGGAAGGGAGGCGGCTGGGGATCAAGCCTTTAACCAAGTCTGTGCCCTTGGAGGTAGCTGCCCTTGACCAGAATTGAACCTGAGACCCTTTAGTGTGTGGGACAATGCTGTATCCACTGAGCCAAAACCAGCTAAGGCATTTACTCTTTATTTATGAGCTGCAGAACACAGCACTGAAAATATTGAAATTGCAGACTATGAATTGTTAGAGCACTACTTAGGACTAACATCTGCCCATGTTTCTTCCTCACATCATCTGGACCTGATGTGCTATTACAAAATCGGTGTAACCTAGTTCAAACAAACCAACCACATGTGAAAAGTTACCTTACTGAGATGATGTTAAAAGATGACAGACTCAAAATAAATTTCCCTAAAATCTTCCTGATGATTTTTATCGTTATTATAAATGGGTATATGAAAAAACTATCTCCATTTTTCTTTTCTTTTACTATATTTTTATTGATTTAAGAGAGTAAGGGAGAGAGAGAGAGAGAACATCAGTGATGAGAATCACTGATTGGTTGTCTCCTGCATGCACCCAACTGGGTACTGTACATCCAACACTTGAATGTACAACAGCGGACATGTGCCCTTGATTAGAATCGAACCTGGGACCCTTCAGTTCACAGGCTGATGCTCTATCCACTGAGCCAAACTGGCCAGGGCTCCATTTTTATGTATTGGATTTTTATGTCTTTCCATCTGGTTAATATAAGAGAAAATTCAATTAAAGGGACAAAAGGGTTAACCAAAAATTAATAACTTATTTTTTTGGCATTTTAGAAGAGGTATTTGAGAGACATGCTACTGAAAATCTTTTCAAATTCTGTAAGTATACTTAAAAATAATTGATAAAAGATATTGAGCTTGATATATCAAGTTCTACCTGAAAAACATTATCAAGAAAGAGGTATAAACTTGTCTTGGGAAATGGTACCACTGTTCTGAAGATAGGCTAAAGAGACTTATTGCTGCCCCTTACCTCCAATTCTGCTTCTAACACCTCTTCAGTGGTTCGGGTCCGATCTTTTGGTTTCTTCCACATCTTTGGTGCAGTTATAGCTGTCTGAGCTGAAATATAAGATCAGGCTACCATTACTTCCCACTGTGAAGTTACGTTTGGAAATATTAGGTCTACATCAGCGGTCATCAATCTCTCACGGACCACCAGTGGTCCATGGACCACCGGTTGGCGACCACTGGTCTAAATGATATTTGTATTCAAATTTAGGAGAAGAAAAGAGGGCTTTCACCATACTGAGGAGACAGATGAATGAAAAAGTGAACAACTGTGTAGTTGTGGCCCAGAGGTTGCAATGGCAAATGTCTTGGGCACAAATTATTCTCATCAGCCATGTAGCCTTCTATCCAGTGGTATAAGTTCCCCCTTCTACTTACTTCATGGTTAAGACATATCCAGGCACACAATTCAGTAAATGGTAATTATCTATATAGTAAACTGGCCTACCAGCCAATTTTAGAGACGGGCCTGCTTCTATTGCTCATCAACTATGTGATCATAAGCAAGTCGCACTTCTTAGGGCCCTGCACATTCAACTATAAAGTGTAAGAGTGAGATTAGATTATGTCTAAGGTTCCTTTTGAGCTACAAAAATAGTGAATCTCAGATTTTGTTTTTTAAAGCTTTCTAGACAAAAGGATACTTTAAAATTTCATTTGATAGGCAACACTTCTACAGCATTCAGTTCTCATTTCAGATTAATATTGTTGGTTTAGCCTTTTATATTGCTGGGGTGACAATTAAGAAAGACAACTATTTTTACCGAACCATTCTATTGCATCAGAAGATATAGATGAAAAATTAGGCTTACAAAGAATTTTTCAAAATTAATCTTGCTTACAAATTCCAAAATCATCCAACACTTGAACGTACAATTTAAACATCAGATAGCAAATAGATTACATTAAAGGAACCTACAAAAGGCAACAGAAGAGTTAACAGGTAGAAATGAGGTATTACAGGCAGGCGGGTAGGGAGAGGAGTCAAAGAAAAGCCACTTAATAGAGACATTATCAAAAGTGAATAAACACCTAGCTGATTCTGTACAGAAATATAAGAACATTCATTTACACTACACCAACTACATTCTCTGGGACAGCCTCAAATCTTTTTTGGAAGAACAATAGGAATACTCACACTGTTTTGGAGAACAACAAAAAGGAGACATTTAATACTCGTCTTATAGAATTTACTGTACCATTAAAAAACCCCAGTAACACCATAAACTCCTTTGTTACACCTCAAACCAATTTTTCTTTTTTCAAATATGTTTTTATTGATTTTCAGAGAGAGGAAGGGAAAAGGAGAGAGAGATAGAAACATCAATGATGAGAGAGAATCATCAATTGGCTGCCTTCTACATACCCTCCACTGGGATTGAACCCGCAATCCCAGCAGGTGCCCTGACCAAGAATCAAACCATGACCTCCTAGTTCATGGGTTGATGTTCAACCACTGAGCAACACCAGCCAAGCACAAACAGATTTTTCTTTATCCTTCCTCTTAGGAACTGTACTGAACAAGAAAACATTATTAGACCAGCTGTTATTCTTCCTTTGTGGTCTACTGAAGGTAAACTATTTTTTCAAAGCATGAAGCACAGATCATGGTAACTGTGGGTGGGTTTAAATCTGCTATTGCCTCACAGTCTTATACTAAGTATATGTTCATATATATATGTATGCAGTGGTCTCTTCCTTTTTTTATGAACTTTCTTTTTTTTATGGAAAGTCCATAAAAAAATGAAGAGACCACTGCATACATATATATATATGAACATAAAACCAGTCTGTCATATATATATATATATATATATATGAACATAAAACCAGTCTGTTTTATGTGCACCTCTCCCAAATGCTTATGATTAATTCTGCTTCCACAGCAGAATCATTTTTATGAGTTTGAGGAACCTGTACATTTCATTTCAAATTTGGTTTCATATATATGCATGAACTGAGCTCTAAATTCCATTCATGGAAAAGGAGAACACTTTCTGGAGGATTCTTTGGGATCAGATATAAACTTCCCTGCCTCTGAACAACAAAACCCAAGAACATATAAAATGCAATCCACCTAAAAACATTAAAACATTTGTTTCATGGGTAACGCATAACATTTAGTATGCTTAAAAAAAAAAGCTACTTTATGTAGCAGGTATTGTTACTCTCTATACGTGGCTTTAAGTTTTACTCTAAAGCAGTAATTCTCAGAAGTGAGAGAAATCACATACCTCTTTAAGAGAAACTCAAGTCCCTGTAGAAACTGAACACAGACATACATACCACATCTAGTGTCTCATGAAATTGTGCTAACATCCCCTCTTCTACCATTACTGATGGAGATGTGCAGTAAAGTCTGGGTGTGTTAACAGGATGGGAGAGGGAGGAAGGGAGAGACACAGATACCTACTCCTTCATTTAAGACAATTATTTCAGAACATGTTAGAATAAGGGAATTAAATCTAAGGCTCTGTCTCAGATTTTTCTTTCCTTTCTAGTCCATTCCCAGTACCTACACCTTAGATTAGGCCTTTAACACTGCATTTATTTAACTATGAGATAGTCTCTTTAATTTACTGCTCTGGTTCTTTAACACATCATGTATATACTGACTGAATGACGGCTGTTCTAAATAATTGATTTGAGTTTAATTATTAATTGGGTTATTCCTGTACTTAGAATATTTTTTAAGGCATCATCCATCATCCATAGGGCCAAGAAAACTTCCTCCCTCATGGTAGGCACTCAAATGTGCTAACTGAACAAATAGCAGCACTGTGTGAAAGAGCTGTTACTGATATTCTGAAAACAAAGACATAGATTCTTCCTTCTTGTGCTGCATTAAAGCACCACAGGACAAGTGACAATCTCTGCATGAGATTCATAATTAATCTGAGCTTAGAGCTACCTAAAGCAGCATTCCTCAGCTCCCATAAAAATTCAACCCTTACAGACCCATTTAATTTCTACTACTTTACAATATAAAATAAGCAAATATAAACAGAAAAGCAAGATTTTTTTTTTAAACAAATTTGCAGATCTTTGGCAGAAAAACCATATTTTTCTTCAGAGCTCATTTCATGAAATGACTATGACATAAATTCAGAAAAATACTGGGAGCACAGGCAAGCTTAATCATTAAGTTTTAGGAAGATTCTTTGTCTTCTCTGTTAGATGTTTCAGAATTTATGTCAAGAATTGCATTAAGTTAGAAATGTTCCCATTTCCAACTTGTACCCCATGAATAGTATCCAGAATCCAGAAAATTATGCCTCATAACAAGTGTTATAACTAGAAATGATTCCATTTTAAAAGAAACCACCATGCAGTTACATTTTTCTGATATCTGTAAGATGCCTGACAAGTCACACCTGAAATTGGAAGAGTCCCTTGTTCTCGTTTACTTTATTTTTATTTTTTAAGTATATTTTTATTGATTTTTACAGAGAAAGGGAGAGGGAGAGAGAGAGAGAAACATCAACGATGAGAGAGAATCACTGACTGGCTGCCTCCTGCACGCCCCCTATTTGGGATTGAGCCCACAGCCCAACTGGAATCAAACCTGGGACCCTTCAGTCCACAGAATGAAGCTCTATCCACTGAGCCAAACCAGCTAGGGCCTCATTTACTTTAGATATAGGTTCTATTGGAGTCAAGTTGCTACTCTTGCAAATTAATATCTAACAACTCTCTGCGTGCAACCTAAGAGATAACTACTGGACTTGAAGAAAAGGGAACAGTATACAAGATTCATAAATGTACTGCGTTTTATTAAATTCATGCAAGTTTGCAAAAATAGTCTTCACCAATGCCTGAGAAACTGCTATATAAAACTAGAGGCCCAGTGCACTAAATTCATGCACTTGGTGTCCCTCAGCCCAGCCTGTACCCTCTCCGTCTGGGAGTCCTTGGGGGATGTCCGTCAGTTGGACACCCTTAGCGCTGCCACGGAGGCGGGAGAGGTTCACAACACCGCTCCCCCTGTGGGAGCGCACTGACCACCAGGGGGCAGCTCCCGCATTGAGCGTCTGCCCCCTGGTGGTCAGTGGACATCATAGCGATGGATTGTTCCTCCACTTGGTATTATAGAGGGTAGTAGATCATATAAAAATGTAAGAATCAAAAGTAGTTATGGAATATAAGGCATCCCGAGAAACTACTCTGTAAAAACTTATCAAACATACACTCTCTTCCTTTTCTTTGCAAGAGTATCAGTTCTTCGAGAATCTTCAAGTATTTAAAAGTCACAGTTTCTAGTCTAGAATCCTGACTCTGAGAGATATCAGAAATGTTGCACAGTAAGTACAAGAATGACAAACAGCACTCCATAATAATATTCCCATATCTTGGTTATTATTTCTTTTTGTCTTGCCGGACTTTCCATAAATCCGGCAGGTAACCTTTTTGTTTTGTTCATCAGTATTTTTTTCATTGATTTTTAGAGAATGAAGGGGGAGGCGGGGAGGGAGAGAGGAAGGGAGAGAGAAACAATGGATGTGAGAGACACATGTTGATTGGTTGTTTCCCACACACACTTCAATGGGGGCTCTGCAAACTAGGCCAGTCTATTTATGCAACTGGGGATTGAACCTGCAAGCCAGGTACATGCCCTTGACCAGGAATTGAACCCACAGCCCTTTGATCCAAGGGATGCCTCTAACCACTGAGAACACAGGGGCAGGGACTGACAGGTAACCTTTTCATCTCAAGGTATTTCACTAGCTATGCAACGCAGAGCTGAAAACAACTTTTACTAAAAGTACCATGTTGGTAAACTTAAACGTGCTTCTCTTTATAATTTCTTCATTACTGACTTAGGTCAGCACATAAGTAAACTGTAAGGTTTTTAAATTTTTCAAATTTTTCTCATACCAAAAAAGAGAGACCTTTTCCATCCTCCGTTTTCTTAGATCTTTGGCTAGAGAAAGATTGGAATTGTAAACCCTTCTCTATCTTTGGATGTATGCATTTTTTATTTTTATTTTTTAAACTAAAGAAGCCTCTTGTCAGCTTTACAACTCAGGAATGTTTTTCTGAAGGGTCATCTC